GTCATTCTGAAGACCACAGGGAGCAGAAAGCCTTAAAAGAGGATCTCCTTTTCTTAGAGACTCAAATGCCATGTTTGAAGAACAAAAGGTGGTGAATAGAGAAGATAATGAGATCAGGGTGGAGAAAATGAGCAATGAGATCTCCATCATGTTCTCCCTCCATATTTTTAAATCATCTGTCCTTCTAGTAGGAGGAATCCCAAATACATCTTAAAATGGTGGAAACTTCTCCTTCCTCTGTATAAGTCCAAGGGGAAGATGAGAGGTCCATAGATAAAAAGGATATCCCAGATAAGGAGCTCATGAAGTGGGATTATCCACCAAGAAAGCTAATGGGGTTCCCACTTTCCCTTGTCCTTTGGAAATTCCCTGGGCCCACTCTTCTTTCAACAGCTGTCATGGAACCTCCAATTCAAAGAACTTTGGATAGTTCTCCTGGCCCCTCCCAACTTCCAGGGTTACTATAGGAACAGAAATAAACAACTTTGCATCTTTGCCATCATCCTTCAACTGCCCACTCCTTACTGAACACTCTCTAAAATAGTGAGGTGGTTAGGACTGGAGGTCTTCAGCCAATGCTCAGATACCTTGAATAGAGCTTTAGGATCAGCATGGCAGGTAGGAGAGAGGGATATTTAGATATCCAGGCGGGCCACTGAGTCATTTATTCTCATTGTTGGCCCAAATAAAAAAACTAACTGTGGGTTCAGGTTTGAAGAATGGATGAAGACAGGTTAAGAAGAGAAAACTCTTTTTTTTTCCCAATTGATTTTTTCTTTCCCAGAGATCTTGGCATTTTAATTGGATGTTGTTTTGTATTCTTGTACATTTTGATTACGTGTATTGGTTGGTTTGCTTTGTATTACATTGCTTTCTTTTTGCATTCCATCTGACATTATAGCATGTTTGACTCAGAACAATATGCAGGAGAGTAAAATAAAATAATTTAAAGATAAATTGATGGTTTATATGGAATGGATAAAAAATGTTGATGCCAATGCAATGAAGGTGAGGCATTCCAAAGGTAAGTACTCCTCTTTTTTAGAAGACAAAGATTAGGGTGGGAGATATGGGCTGATCTGGGGGGGGGGGGGGGGGGGGGGGGGGGGGGGGGGTTGGCTTTGCAACCTAACATTACAGGTGTGTGTTCATTTGGCAACTAGAGCACAGGAAGATGACATTTCCGACCCGTAGTAAGAGAGATGCAACCACCAGACCTTTGTCATAATCTCTTGTTGCAGCCCTGATATCTGGTGTAAGGGGGAGAAAACTCTGTTCTAAAGATCCCAATGGACAACTGAAGAGATCTCCATTTCTTCGTGTGTAATTCGTTAAAAAGAATGTTATGTAGAAGGTCGGCCTTTGTAGTTAAATGACTGAAAAGGACAGTGACCACCTGCAGTGTACAGATACGGAAAATTATATGTCCTAGAGAATTTTCCATCCAGGATAAGAATGGTCCAAAGGAGGAATGGGAGCTATTAAAACCTTCAAAGAAAGGCATGTTTCCATCTGTGCTTTAGAATCCGCTTCTCCCCTCAGACTGACCTTTAGTCCTAGGGATGGGAAGGGTAACAGAGCTGAACTGGTCCTCTCATCGTCTCTCTCAGCCTGAACCTCCTCTTCTGAAAACCTCTCCTTGGACTCTTATGATGAGAAGCAGAATAAGTAAGGCAAAGGGAGGAGGGACAAGAAACCGGGTGGGAATCTACCTTAGAATAGAAAGCACTTGTCCAGTGGAGGAGAAACATCAGAAGGATGTTTGTCCAAAAGAGATGGGCAATGGCAGAAGAGGGAGGCCAAATCCACCTTTGCTGACACTGACAAGACAGACAACAAGAGCAATCTGGCCCAGCACATGGAAATTGGAGTCCATCTAGATATTCCATCCCCTGGAGAAGAAGCACCAAACCCTCCCCACAAAGACAGCCCTCCCAGACAGGAGACCACCTGGAGGCTTCTCTGAGGAACCACTGTCCACCATAGCCACCATGAGAAGGGGGTTTGGGAAGCCACTTCTCCCAATACCTCAGAACTCCATCTCAATCTTGACAGCAGCCCCCCCCCCCCACCTGTCCTCTCAACCAATATTGAGGCCACAAGAAGGCCAGACCATCCCAGGACCCAGAGTGGCCCAGAAGATGTTTCAACCCAAACCTTTAGTTGTAGAAAATTTCAGAACTATTATAGTAAAATAATAAATGGAATGGAATAAATAATAGGGAAATAATTTAATGTGGGATAAAGCCAGATTCACAATAAAGGCAAAGGAAGGTAACAATAATTGGATAGAAATCATAAAATATATGACAGCCACAATACAAGCCACAATAGCGCGAGGATGGGGAGACAATACAAAATGGGATTTAGAAACTTTGTGGGCTTATCTATCAGAATATATAATTAATGATTTCATCAATCAAAGGAAAAACAATACTGGTTCAGGAAATGGTCTGTGCTAATTGACAAAATAGACTGAGATGACAGATAGAGTGTTTTGAACCAGGCTTTCCACATGGTTAAACTGATGCAATGACATTATTTAGAATTGCTGTTCCAGGGGGGCGGGGGTGATGGGTGGCTCAAAGCCAACCTTAAAAACTCTGGCATAGAAACTGAGAACTGGGAAGCCCTGGTCCTTGAGCGCTCCAGCTGGAGGTCAGCTGTGACTAGTAGTGCTGCAGAATTTGAAGAGGCACGAATGGAGGGTGAAAGAGAGAAATGTGCCAAGAGGAAGGCGCGTCAAGCCAACCCCGACTGAGACTGCCTTCCACCTGGAAACCAATGCCCTCACTGCGGAAGAAGATGCAGATCAAGAATAGGGCTCCACAGTCACCTACGGACTCACAAGAATACTGATCCTGGAAGACTATCCTACTCGGCCAACGAGGGATTGCCTAAGTAAGTAAGTAAGTAAGTAAGTAAGTAACATGTCATATAAGAAATATTTATTTTGGAATAATGTATACTGAAATAAGTCCTGTATGGCAAAAGTTCGTTTATTGTTGGGATGTATCAAATAAAAATTTTATATATATATATATATATATATATATATATATATATATATATAAAGGAGCGACCTTAATGAACTTGTGGCACACTTTCCTTTACATCGCCCTCTTGAGCCGAAGGGGATTCCTGGCATTGTGCAAAGTGCGCTGTCGCACGCTGGGCCTGTGCACATGACTGTAGACAGGACATAAATTTTGTGTGCCCAGTGGGACGCCGGAGCTGCCTCAGATTAAAGGCCCTTAGATTCCCCCAAACAGAGTCTTTAGGATGCTTAAAGTAAATCCAACAAAGTTCTTTATTGATGAAAACAAACAGGTACTTTCAAGCTTTCTTAACAGTCTATTGGCTCTTGCAATCTTGTTCACTGGGAACAGGCACTATCTTCTTAACTGTAATTAACTAATGGGGAAATCCTAACTTCTAATCTGGGCAGTCTGTACTTGCCTCTGTTGACGTGGAGCCCCTGCACCCGGTACCAACTGCGTCTGGCTTCTGCGAGCGACCCTTGCCCCAACAGAGCTTTGTAGACCTCCAGGGAAAAAGGAGTTCAGGTTGCTGTGATGGCCGGCTGAAGTCCCTCAGCCAAGCTGTGGGGCCTTTTCTCCCCGGCCAGGCTGTAGGCTGTAGGCTGAATATCTCCCCGGCCAAGCTGTAGAAGATGAAGCTTTCTACAGGAGCTACTTCGTTTTATGTCCTGTGCAAAAGGCTTCTCTGTGAGAACTAACTCAAAAAGGCTCCTATTCCCTCCAAAACTCAAAAAGGGGCGGGACCAGAGAACCTAACTATAACTGACAGGGGGCTTGCCCTATGATTGCAAACTATAGCAGGAAGCCACCCTGCTGCAAAATCCCAAGCCTGGGATTGCAAACAAACATTTAATGCAAAGCAAACAAAATTGGAGCTCCTAGTACTGTTGTACCAGCACACAAAGTGCTGGAGTGCCGGTGAGCCATTGCCATTACAAGTAGACCAGGCCCACTGTCTCCTCCTTGCAGAGGGGACATCTACATCACCTGGACACCCCCTGATCCCAACATGGGGGTCTCCCGGCCCGTCACAGGGGAGCAGCAGCCCAGCCATAAGTGAATGAAGCACCAGACTCAGGACAAGGAGGACAAGGTCTGTACCAACTTGGGCAGGGGCCTTTGTTTGCAGCCCACTTTTGAGGCCTGGTCCCAGCCTGATTGGCAGAACTGCCACTGAGTTTGCCAAGCCATGCTTCACCCAGCTCATGGCCTTAGTTGCCCAGAAGTGCCACCTGAGGGGGGAAAGGAAAGGGCCTGAGGCTGTTAGGAATGGTGGGAGCTGAAGTCCAAAACACCTGGAGGGCCCAAGTTTGACTATACCTGGTGTAGATCCCCCCAAATTCATATTAGCACTTTGAATTCAAATTAGTCAATTCCCTCAGTAGTAGAAGAGGCCACAGAATATCCCACAACTCTAGACTCAGGGTGCATCTACATTGTGGAATTATTGCACTTTGATACCACTTTAACTATCATTGTGCGATGGTCTGGAATCATAGGAGTTGCAGTTGTCTCTACACATAATTTCAAATTCATATTGAAACTGATTTATATGTTTGTGCAGATGGGGCCAGACACATACAGCTGTGTATATCAATTTCTACTTAAATGGAGAAACAACTCTGAACACTGATATGTTTCCTTCATTCACTCCATTTATGGTACTCTACATTAATAGCTCTATGGCTCAGTGACCGTTGAAAGGAAAAGGGAGAAATGAGAGCGGAAGGGGGGGGAGCGGAAAGCATATTTGGTACATTCCAAATTATTTTGTGTTTGATTAAAGAACCCAGCGAGGGAAGTTTTGCTCGTATTTGGTCATTTGGTTCATTTTCCCTGGTTGGGATTATTATTTCCCTACGCCTCCTCGTGGGGGTGAATGGTGCAGCCTGACCGTCCCTCCCCTCCCGCTCGAAATGGTATAGCCTGAAACGGAGGCTATATAAGGAGCAGGCGGGCGGAAGGGACGGTCTTTTGCTTCCTGGCGCGCAGGAAGGCGGGTGGGCCTTAGGCTGCGATGGAAGCCACGCGCCTTCCGTTCCCATTCTCAGAGGCCTACTTCCAAGGTCGAAGTTGGGAAGATCGAGGGAATCGGCCAGGAATGGAGCCCGGATGATGATGGGTAAAGGGAGAGTTGTGTTGTGTTGCCTGCTTATGGCGGGCCTATGCAGAATGGCTATGTTTACACCAGGCACGGGCAAACTTCGGCCCTCCGGGTGTTTTGGAGTCCAACTCCCACAGCGGGGACCCTGGAACCAAGACTGCGGATACCGAGGGCCCGAATGGGCCCTCGGTATCCGCGGTCTTGGTTCCAGGGTCCCCGCTGTGGGAGTTGGACTCCAAAACACCCGGAGGGCCGAAGTTTGCCCATGCCTTGCTTACTGTAGAATTAATGCCACCACTTTAATCGCCAAGGCTCGACGCTGTGGGATCCTGGGGCTTTGCAAAACTACAGTTCCCAAGATTTCATAGTTTTGAGGCAGGTCAGTAATAGGCCCCTTTATACACTGCCACCTAAAATACACTTTATCTGCTTGGAATGGGATTATATGTAGGCTCACAATCCGGTTCAAAGCAGATAATGTGGAGTATATGTTTTGACAATCTGGATCATGTGGCAGTCTAGAAGGGGCCATAGAAAAACTTCCAACTGAGGTTTCCTAGAAGCATAGAGTTGGAAAAGACCACATGGGCCATCCAGTTCAGTGCCCTGCCGTGTAGGAAAAGTGCAAAGTAACCCTGACAGATAGCCATCCAGCCTCTGTTTAAAATTTTCCATCACACTCCGAGGCATTGAGTTCCACTGCTGAACATCTCTTAACAGTCAGGAAGTTATTCCTAATGTTCAGGTAGCATCTCCTTTTCTGTCATTCAAACGCATTGCTCCAAGTCCTATTTTCAAGGGCAGCAGAAAACAAACCTTCTCCCTGTTCCTTACGACATCCTTTCACATATTTATACATGGCTATCATATCTCTTAACCTCTTCTGCAGGCTAAACATACCCAGCTCTTTAAGACACTGCTCATTGGGATTCATGGTCTCCAGAGCTTTGATCATTTTAGTTGCCCTCCTCTGGACACCTCGCAGCTTGTCAATATCTTTTCTGAACTGTGCCCCAGAACTGGACACAGTATCCCAGGTGAGGTCTTACCAAAGCAGAATACAAAGGTATCATGACTTCCGTCAATCTAGACATTATACTCCTTTTGATGCAGCCCAAAATCACATTGAATCATAGAGTTGGAAGAGACCTCATGGGCCATCCAGTCCAACCCCCTGCCAAGAAGCAGAAAAATCACATTCAAAGCACCCCCCAACAGATGACCATCCAGCCTCTTTAAAAGCCTCTAAAGGAGCCTCCACCACACTCCATGACAGAGAGTGCCACTGAAGCAACTTCCAGGCCTTCTGGTTTTGTGGGTGCAAAGGCCCAGTGAAATACTATGGTGCCCAAAGATCCAGTCTATTTACACAAACCCAATTACTAGGAAGACCCTTAGCCCACTCCAGTTAAAGTTAAGCAATCAAACTGGCAACTAGGAACAACAGCCTTCTTCATTCCTGTGTTCTGTCTGAACCTCACATGGTAGTCATGCAAGCCATGTGGCCCAGAGGTGCCCCCTGGATTCTCTTTGCAGCGATTGATGAGGAGATGGAGGAAGCACAGGTTTGCCTCAAGAATGGCTCTTTGTTCTCCAGTGAGGAAGCAGAAATGGCCATGTGCTCAGAGATTACACCCCCCCCCCCCCCCCGGTAAAATAATCTCCAGTTCCTTCAGTGTGAGTTTGGTCAACTTTCTCCAGTTGTGCTGGAAGACCTAGAAATCACCAGAGAGGTGTCTCTCAAGTAAAAAACAAAACAAAATATCTACCTGTGGTTTTTCATTTTCACTTGGATCCTGTTCCCCTAATCCCAGCAAATGTGGGGTGTTGACTGTAATCTAATGATAAGGTTGTGTAGGTTGAAATAATATACGATGTAGCAGTATTTTATATAAGCAGCCTTCCTTGCCAAACGTGATGTGTCTGTCCCACTCTAAAGTCTGTCATTTTCCTAGGACAGACTCATGGTAGCTCCCAAAAATAAGATATGCCATACACCATACAAAACTGCTCTTTTTCTCCCTTTGATATACAATGTGATGCGAATACATTCCTTTTCATTTAACTTCTGTGTACAGGCGGTCCCCCAGTTACAGACATCCAATTTACAAACGTCTCATAATTACGAACAGGAGTGAGACAATCGGAAGTGAGAGAAATCCACTCCTTAAAATTAAAAGAGTTATCATGGGGAAAAGGAGTCTCCACTGAAGCTTTCTCACCAAGCCTTGTTTCCACAGCAAAACAAATTTTTGAAAATCCAGTTATCACAGGGACAAAGTGAGGTGAAATCCTCTGTACAGGAGCAGACCGCAAAACGAACTCCACGGGGATGTTCACTCTTCCCTATGCTTTCCAAAGCTTAGATGTATGTGTGGCTGGAGTTACACTTAAAATGTACCTGTTCCAACTTGCATAGAAATTCAACTTAAGAACAAACCTCCAGAACCTATCTTGTTCATAACTTGGGAACTGCCTGCATTTTGTTCGTCTTGCCTTCAGTTCTACCCATTCATCTTGGTTACTAATGAATGTGGTGTCAGAAAAGGCATAAAGCAAGTTTCCCCTTGCAGCTTCTTCCTATGCTAGGAGTTATTCCTGCTGGATTTTCTGTGTGGGGGGACATTCCTAATAGTGACTATATACGTTTTTGTAATGTCTATTGCCGATCTTTCTAACAATTCGTAAAGTCCGCTAAAAGCACATTGTGAAGATTTCTGCTTCCAAGATTAAATTGTGTAGTCCTCCAGCTGCAGCACATTCTAATAGAGTATATTACTGTAATGCCACATTATTTTCTCATATTAAGATGACTAATTCATTATCTCATTCCTTTTTCCAGGTATAGGCAAGTCCACCCTCAGGTTTGGATGAGAGATTTATACTCCAAAATATATATAGGTATGTAGCCTGTCAAATGTTTCTCTCACATATTTCAAGACATTAATATCAGTATTGATTATTTCACTTTATAATGAGTACTTTTGCCTTTGTGTTGCCCATTCATTATTTTCTACAGTGAATGTGGTGTCAGACAAGGCATATATTAACTCTAGTTGGCATGTGTTTTAGAGTGGGTCATGCACCTTCTCTGCATTTCAGCTGGAACATAAAATTGGAAGGAAATGTGTGCTAATCCAATTCCCTATCCCAAGACGTGGTATTTTGTCTGGACACTTTATGAGCAAGTGAAGTGAAGGCTTTCAGTATTTGCCTTCCTGTGAGTCTTGCGCATTGGATTGCATACTATGCATTTGAAGAAAACTGGCTTCTTTCAGTGTGAGCTTTTTTGCCATTAGCTGTATCTAAATCACTACAATGGGAAGCTTGTTTGTTTATTTGACCAATTCAAAGAGTTTGAAGGGCTTGTTCTAAGGTTGAGCAGAGGTAGATTCAAATTCTGTGGTGGCGATTTGATATTGTATTGGCAGTTAGATTGCCAACTTTCAAACATTGGCAGCAACAAAATAATTTCTCTGCCTTTAGCACAAATTAAAACGCAAGCTTGAGCATAATGTCCAAGCAAATCTCTCGTTTGAAGGATTGAGTTGCTTAGCTGCTGTATACAAACCAAATTCCTGAGCTCAGATTTTGTAATTCAGAAGTGTGTTGATTTTTTTTCCGTGCATCACTGCATTTTAATGAACAAATCCAATCCTGCAAACTAAGTTGGCCCAATAATGCAGCAAAGTATCAAGAAAGCTTTGTTTTGGTTGTAATGCTTTCCCTATATGCTTTGTTTTTTCTCATGAGTTCCAACTGCATTGGATGATGAGTGGTAAATACAGGTTTCTAAGCCTTTACTCTCTCCTCCTATACAAGACTTGTGTGCAACTGATGTACATTTGGGAGCCTGAACATTATATCCTAAGCATACAGCAGGAGAAATACATTGATGGTGCCACACAGGGCATTATAGGCAGAATAGTTACTCATTCACTTTTGTTTTGTGAGACATCCACCTGCACATCATTGAATTGTTGTCCCTGTATTTTGTGAGTTGTGCCCCGTCTTGACTGTAGAAATTCCATATTAATGAAAAGCAATGGCAGAGTTACCGGTATCAATATGATTCTTAGGCTTGTGCCTCTTGGAATGATGGGAGATTAGTGCCAAGCGGTCGCCGAGTGAATCTTTCACTGTTCAGTCATCTTCCCTTTAAAGCACGGATGGAGTACATGGCCCTTCAAATATTTTTTGGCCACAGTAGCCATCACCATGGACTGTTCTAGGGGACTGATGGTAAATAAAGGCCAGCCTGTGTTGGATGGGGTCGCACTCCCCTTGAAGACGCAGGTTCGCAGTTTGGGTGTGATCCTGGACTCATCGCTGAGCCTGGAACCCCAGGTTTCGGCGGTGACCAGGGGAGCATTCGCACAGTTAAAACTCGTGTGCCAACTGCGCCCGTACCTTGGGAAGTCTGACTTGGCCACGGTAGTCCACGCTCTGGTTACATCCCGTTTAGACTACTGCAACGCTCTCTACGTGGGGTTGCCTTTGAAGACGGCTCGGAAGCTCCAATTAGTCCAACGGTCGGCAGCCATGATACTAACTGGAGCGGAGCGCAGGGAGCACACAACTCCTCTGCTGCACCAGCTCCACTGGCTGCCGATTTGCTACCGGGCTCAATTCAAAGTGCTGGCGTTGGCCTTTAAAGCCCTAAACGGTTCTGGCCCAACCTACCTATCCGAACGTATCTCGGCCTATCAGCCCACCAGGACCCTAAGATCTTCTGGGGAGGCCTTGCTCTCTATCCCGCCTGCTTCACAGGTGCGGCTGGCGGGAACGAGAGACAGGGCCTTTTCTGTGGTGGCCCCTCGGCTCTGGAACGCCCTTCCCATGGAAGTAAGATCAGCCTCCTCGCTGATGGTATTCCGAAGAAGACTAAAAACTTGGATGTTCAAGCAGGCATTTGGTTAATTCGGTGCAATGAATGTGTTGATTACGGATTGGTAATATGGATGATGCAATTGGACCACGATTTTAGTTAGGAGATGTATTGGATTGTGATTTACGTGTAATATTGTGTATTATGTTTTTTATGGTTTTAATTGTATACTGTGCACTGTATATTTTGTTGTAAACCGCGTTGAGTCGCCAGTTAGGCTGAGAAACGGCGGTATACAAGGACAGTAAATAAATAAATAAATAATTACTGGCATTCAATGGTAATTGTGTGTTCCTCCTGATGTTATGTTCTAATATTCTTTCCATTGGTTTACACAGCTTGCCAAGTGCTTGCTCAAGATCCAGCACAGTGAAAGAGGGGATTTGGAACTGACTGGAGAAGGTGAGTAAATTGGAATGGCACCCTAACTTGGTGGGAGGATAAATTGGTGGCCCATCTTCTGACAGATGAAAGTTTATCTGACTTTGTTTCTTTTCCCTTGTTGTCTGCAGTTCCCAAATTCAATAAAGCAAAAGCCAGAGGACTATGTTCCCCCCCCCCCCAAAAGGTGGCAACAGAAAGGAATGTTCTACAATATAACGGTTATTTATGAGGCCTGTGTTGGGAGCTGAAGAGTACCAAAATTACCTCTTTTGAAACAGCAAGCCAAAGTGCGAAGAGAAATAATTTGAAAATAAGGAATTCTTAAAACATTTTTCATACTGGTGGCTATGGGGATGGTTTCAAATAAAATATAATTTTTTGAGTGGCTGTTATCTGAAAGCAGAGCAGAGGAACTGAACAATTTGACATGGAACATCAATGATCAAGTGATAGAAATGTCTGGTTTTCATTATAATTTAATAAAACAAATCACGAGTTTCAAATTTTATTGTATTTAGTGATCTTTCTTTGAAGAAAAAGCTTCTCAGAACAAAGGCATTGGGGTGTACTTCAGACCTACAAAAACTTTGGATGTTGAAATACATTTGCCTCTTTACAAACCCTCACCTTTCCTAAGATGGCAGAGCAGTAGTGCTGGACTGTCAGTGTTCCTTGCACATTGCGGGAATGTATGGGAAGCACTGTGTGCTGATATTCTTCAGCTGCAACACTTGTGTTTACTATAGACAGACTACATTTGTTTCTTTTGATGGGTAGAGTTATGGTTCTGTTGGCCTGTGTTCGAGCAAACAAGTAAAACAAATGCTTGGAATATGAATGAGCTGGCAGGTAAGGCTAGAAGAATACTGTGCCTTCCTATCTCCCATCCCAGTGAAGGCTGAAAAATGACCTACATAGTTTGTGTTTGCTTGCTTCACAGCCATAAATGTTTAGGCAACATGACAGCTTGTTTTCACACTAATCTGTTCAGGCAACATGTTTGCAGATGTCTGTGCAGTCAAGTGAAATGTTAAAAAACACTTAAGTGCGAATGAAGAGCTTGTGACAAAAGGGCCTGGGGCAACATGTCTCCAGCTATTATCAGACAATTCCATTGTTATGCCTGTGGCTCATAGGAATAACAAAAAAAAAAAACCATCGAGTGATTTTATACTTTTTTGAAATAAAGAATTTCTGGATGCAATCTCGAAGTGCTTTTTCCTTCACAAATGATCTAATGTTAAAAAATCAACAAAAATCTATTAGAAGGAAGGCAAAGCCACATTAAACACACTACAGCAGAGGTGGATGGCTAAGGAGTCACACTGGTTTCTCCTTAGACTAAATTGGTCTTGCCACTTCCCACAAAAAATGTAGAAAAACCTCCCACACCTGTAGTACTGTTTGAAGCAAACTAAATGAAAAATAATTGTTGGAGACCACTAAAACAGCTCTTTGGTCACACCTTGAACACCTCTGAATTACAGTATGGTTGGATTCATGATGAGGTATAAGAGCCATCTTGAAATTGCCTCCTCTGCCTCGTACTCACATTTGTCATTTCTTATAGATATGCTAGTGGTTTTGTTTTACTATGATGATCCAGATCTAAACTACCCTGTGTTCTCCACTGCATTCAAGGTATGGATGGTAGGATAAATTCAAAATATTGTGACCATGGCTCAATACTATGGAATCATAGGAGTTATAGATTGACAGTATCTTGTAGCCGCCTCTGCCAAGGAGTTCTGGTGCCTCACAAACTGCAAATCTCATGATTCCTTAGCACTTAGTTATTGCAGTTAAAATGTCAAACAGCATTAATTCTACAGTGTAGATGTCTCCCATCTGAAATACTGGTAATTTCAGGTGGCTTCTGGGCATCTGCTCTGGGCAACGTCTCTGCAGATGACCACTCACACCAGAAGCGACTTGCAGTATCTAGTCGCTTCTGACATGATAAAATGGGGGAGGGGGGTGGCTTCTGTGACAACTTTAGAAGGACTAACGATGCCAACGCAAGGATCACTACTTAGGCAAGTTTTCAGGATGTTATACATACTGCTTCAACTTTCAAACACTCACTTATGTCTATCATACTTTGATGCTTACGGATCTACTGCTGCGGCACACATCCTAAGAGCTTTGGCAGTTATACTAATTATAGAGAAAATCATCACTTGTACAATGGTTCACTGAAAATTTTAAAAGACAAAATCTGTAACAGTCTTTTCCAGTAACAATACAGTCTGTGATGAATGTAGCAAATGCAAGAGATCCAGTAAAGTTCTTATAAAAAAATTCACACTTAAGCACAAAGACAGTATGTAACTGGCAAGTGTAGGCATTGTACTCTTGTACTGGAGAACACTTATTGCACATTTGGCGAATGCACAAACCCCCTTCACTTTATTGATACTGCCACTTCTGCTGTCAAATAATTCCATCATATGGGGCACTGTCCATTTGTCATCTGGAACTTGAATAGTTGGTAGCTGTTGCAGTTCAATAAAGCGTTTTTGTTCAAAAGCTCGTCTTCTTACAATTGCCTCCAGAAATATCAAGCCAAAGGATCCCAAATGTCTTGAAGATTATTTCAGAGGGCATATGATGGATTTCCTTTAGGCCTGCATTCAGTCCCCATCTTTCCAGAAAGTAGAGTTTTAAGTTTTTTGCTATTTGTACATTCAAGAAACAGCATCCACAGTTCTCTGTTGTGGGATCAACTCTCTATCTTGAGCCGCGATACTTGTACAATTTTTATTGTCTTGCTACTGTGCTTTCCATCCAGGTTGCTGGTCGATGTTTGTGCTTTTTCTTCTATTAGGCTGTCTTTAGATCCACTGCACCTCTGAAGAGAACAAATTGCATAATTACATATCTTAAAACTGAAAAGGAATAAATATTATTCTATGCATTCTAGTCTGAGTCTCGTAAAGGAATTGCCACCAAATAAAACATGCTAATCAAAAGAGGTGCTCTCCAAGAGGTTTGCTGGGTTCCTGCACAGCCCCCTGGTTCTTCCGAATACAGTCTTATGCCCTCACTATTTAACATGTACATGAAACCACTGAAGTTTTGGGGGTTAGGTGAAATAATTAATTATGCTGAGGGTTATTTTGTTATGTGCCATAACATCAAGCTGTTTCCAATTTATGGTGACCCTAAGGCAAATCTATCATAGGTCACCATAAGTTGGAAACAGCTTGAAGGCATACAACAACAAATCCTATCACAGGGTTTTGATACGATTTGTTCAGAGGCTTCTGCCTTTGCCTTATTCTGAGGTTGACAGTGTGATCACCAAGTGCATTTCCAAGACGGAGCTCCTGAGTTGCAATCCAACTATCAAGCAAGTACACTATGCTAACTCCCAGTTTTATTATTTCTTTCCACCTAACTCCAAGGAAGCTGTTTCTGTGTTAAGCAGATGCCTGGCAGCTGTAATGGATGGGATAAAGACAAACAAAGGATTCCTCCAGATGGGAAGCAGCCAAGCTTTGAAGCTGCAAGGCTATTCAATGCTAATCAAGGTGATTAATTGAAACATTCACACTTGCCTCAGGCACACAAGAGTTCTTTCTCCCACCCTGGACATTCCACAGATATATAACCCCCACTTGCCTAGTTTCCAACAAACTGCACAACCTCTGAGGATGCCTGCCATAGATGTGGGTGAAACATCAGGAGACAATGTTTCTGGAACACGGCCATATAGCCCAGAAAACTCACAGCCACCCAAACAAAATGGAGCGTAATTCAATCAAGACAAAGGTGCTCAAAAGGGCAGAGTTGGGAACAGAGATTCATCCTGTGTTAGAAGTGGTTACACTCCACCTGAAAATGCAGGCTTGCCTTGCCAGCTGTACAAAAAGCTACAGTTGAATCACCTAGAAGTTGGGGGTATTGCTGGATTTTGCTCTGAGACCAGAAACCCACATTTAAGCAAGGCTTCTGAATAGCTAAAGTCAGTATGCCAACTGTACCTATTCCTGGATAAATCAGCTCTGGCCACAGTGGTACTTGGCTTGGTTACATCCTGTTTGGATTACTGTGATAGTCTCCATGTGAAGTTGCCTTTGAAAAGTGCTCAGAAATGTCAGTTGGCTCAGAAAGCAGCAGCCAGTGTGTTAACCAGGGTTGGCTACAGGAAGCACACAATTTTATTGTTGCCACAGCTCCATTGGCTGCCATTGCATTCAGATTGCTGTTTTTGACCTGTAAAAACTTGTACATCTTGGGTCCAGATTATTTAAAAGCCCATATATCTCTTTATGGAATTGTTTTTCAGCTGTTTACCTTGTCTGCTGTACAAAAAGCTACAGATAAATCACCTAGAAGAAACCTTGCTTTTGTCATTCAGATTGCTGTTTTTGACCTGTAAACCCTATACACCTTAGGGCCACATTATTGTTGGACTGTATATCTCTTTTATAGGTAAAGGTAAATGTTTTTCCCTGACATTAAGTCCAGTCGTGTCTGAATCTGGGGGTTGATGTTCATCTCCCATTTCTAAGCTGAAGGGTTGTCTGTAGAAACCTCCAAGGTCATGTGGTCAGCATGACTGCATGGAGCGCCATTATCTTCCCACCGGAGTGGTACCTATTGATCTACTCATATTTGCATGTTTTCAAACTGCTAGGTTGGCAAAAGCTGGGGCTAACAGCAGAAGCTCACGCCACTTCCCGGATTCGAACCTGCGACCTTTCAGTAAGCAAGTTCAGCAGCTCAGTGGTTTAACCCACTGAACCACCGGGCCCATTCTAATGCTAGGATTATTTGGAAAGGTGCTTCTCTCTGTCCCACCACTTTCTCAGGTTTGTTTGCTGGGAACAAGGGAGAGGGGACCTTTTTGGTGCTTGTTTTCCAGATTTTGGAACTCCTTTCCTGGAGCCCAGGATGGCCCCATCTTTGCTCTCTTTCTGTCAGCAAGTGAAAAACATTGTGCTCTCAGGCTTTTATACACAGACGAGGGCTGAGCTTTTAATACTATGCAGTGCTGTTTTAACAGTTTGTATGCAGGCTTTTAATGCAGTTTAATATTTTTCATGCTTAATATTATATATATATATAATGTATTTGTAATTTTATTAACACCTCTGTGCTGCTTTTAATTTATATTGTTTTAAATATGGTATTAGCTATCTTGAGGTTTATTATTAGGATAAAGGTGGGATGTAAAAGAATGAATTAATGAATTAAATAATTAAATACACATATCTAAACAGGTTTTGGCTGCCCCACCTGGGCCACCCCCACCCTCCTCATGTTAGTAAATGGCAGGCTCAGGAGGAAGATGAGTTTGGACAAGGAAGGTCATTGCATCCTTCCACAATAACCACAAAAAGTAATACAAACGGTGTAATTAATTCATTGAATAATAGTTTGATCCTATGTATGTTTATTCATCAGTAAATCCCTTGGAGGGTTGATCTAGACAGGATGCTAAATGCCTCATTTGAAATGCTAGACGACTGGGCATTTCAAGGAGATCCCTATGGTGCTTCAAAGGTTAAAGGCATAGTATAACCGGAGTTTTCAAGTCAGATCATTTGTGGTGGGGAAAGCATTAATCCTGTCCTCGTAATATGTTCACAAAGTCTAAAACTGCATTGCACATTAATGATTTTTAAAACCTATTATATTTGAAGTACCTAATGTGATTAGTGTCACATCTAGTTTTGCCAATGAAACTTAAGTTTTGATCCTTTATGTCAGTAATTTGTTATCAATAACTACAAGGAAAAACTAAAGAACGTCAGTAAAAAGGAATTCATTTTGAAAAGCATTTTAAAGACATAAGAACCATACAAACACAAAACACTCAATTACCAACCTGCTGAACTACTGTGGTTGTCAGGCACTGAGCATCTGAGGAACGGGTTACAGGTAACGGAGGTACAAGGTCTGTTTTTGAGCTGAAACAAAAAATGTGCATTGAAGTGTTAAAGCTTTTATCTATGATAGTGCTTTTAACTTTTTTCATGTCAGAAGCAACTTGAGAAACTGCAAGTCGCTTCTTGTGTGAGAAAACTGGCTATCTGCAAGGATGTTGCCCAGGGGATGCCCAGATATTTCACCATCCTGTGGAAAGCTTCCTCATCTCCCCACATGAGAAGTTGGAGCTGACAGACAAGAGCTCACCCCGCTTTCTGGATTCGAACCCCCAACCTTTCGGTCAGCAGTCCTGCCAGCACAAGGGTTTAACCCATTGCACCACTGGGGGCTCCTATGTTCTTAATTAATAATTGCTAAATACATCACAACTGAAACATATAGAACAATTCTATTTTTTTCTTAGAAACAACATCCAATATTACATACATTCACTTCCTATTCTCTTCTCAGCACACTGCAAATTGGCTCCACAGGGAAGAGGAAATCTATTCCGAAAGCGATGTCCATTTACCAGTGGATAGACACAGGCTGGGCACAATTTAATAACTGAATCTCACCCTAGTAATGGAATCATGTGCCTTAACTTTGAAATGTTCCTATGTGCTGGTAGATGCCTCTGCAGTATCTAACTGTTCTGTTTTCTGAGTCAGAATTCCTTCCAATAATAATGATGTAAGTGAGGTAATGACCTCGTTTCTCCCAAGAAATCCCACAAATTCCTAATGAGGAGGATGAGGATAAGGGTTTTCATATATAGCACTGCATCCTTCCTATTAATAGAATAGCATGACTATTACAGAATCCTACTTCTGAAAATATAAGGAGGTCAAGTATCCTGTTAGTAATGATCTCTCAAGTCTTTGCTGAGTGAAATGAAAAGTTCGGAAACAAGCAAAATTGCATATTGTAGACCTCCCCATCCGCAAAAGATTATGGCAGGCATCCTCAAACTGCGGCCCTCCAGCTGTTTGGGCCTCCAACTCCCAGAAGCCCTAATGAGCTTGTTCAATTGTCAGGAATTCTGGGAGTTGAAGGCTTATGAAGTCCAGCTCCCAATAACCCCAGCCAGTTATCAAACATGACAGGAGTTTGGTATCTAGAAACATATACATTAAAATGCCAGTTAATGGAAATTGTACACAACATGAGAGTCAGGTGGAATTATAAGTCACACACCACCCATTCACTTAAATACTCAACATACTTCACTTCTGACAAAACAGATCTTTCTCCATCAGAGCACTGCGACCGTCGATATTGCCGATAGCTTCGAGGCGAATGGGAGTGTCGAATGCGAACAGGGTCACCTTGTGTCCTAAAGGGGAAAGACAACAGGAACAGATTACTTTCTCTGGGATTGTTTTTCAGCAGTTTATCTTCCCTGCTCTACAAAAAGCTACAGTAGAATCACCTAGAAGATAATCCTGTTCTTTCCCATATCAGACTTTATTGCATTGCTCCTTGCACAATGTGGTAACCTAACATTGAAAGCCTGTCTTTGTTCAGCTCTCTTCCACCATCCTCCCAATTTCAATGCTGCAAAGAAATTCCAGCTAGACAGAGAGATGAGGGAGGTGTGCTTCTGTAAAAAGGAACTTCTTTGTCAGGGGTTTGTTAACAGAGTTATGCCAGTAGAGGTTATAAATATCTGACTTACAGACGACTCCTAGTTACAACAACCCAAAATTTCCAAAATCCAGTTGTCACAGGGACAGACAGTGAGGTGAAATCTTCTGAACTGGGGCACAGACAGCAAAACAAACACCACATGAGTGTTAACCCTTCCCTAATGTTATCCAGAACTTTTAAAAACCAACATTTTGGCTGGAGTTGTACTTAAACAACTTACATACAAATCCAACTTAAGAACAAACCTACAGAACCTATCTTGTTTGTATTGCAATAATTGCGAAAATCATGTATCATTCAATTATTAAATTTGTTCCTGAGTATTTAAAAACACTTGGGAAGTAGAAGATAGGAGGCAATCCTTTAGCAAAATTAATTTACTGACTAACATAAACAGCAATGCAGGTTCCAAAAATGTTTGTAAAGTTTGTATTTTAAATTCACAGGTCTACCATTCTGTTTCTCCCTGCTCCCATGATGTGGCAGAACCACATTGTGATGCACCATGTGATTTCACTCCTGTCAAAAGCACTTGCTCATATCACTACACGGCGGTCCCAGGTGGCCAATTATTGAAACGAAAATGGAAGCTTGATCTGAGAGGAGCAACAACAACAACTGTGTGCTCTGGCAACTGATGGAAATGTGCTGAGGAAGCAGGGTCAAGCGTGTGTCAACCAGTCATTTTAAATGATCAGAGTAAGATGGGGTATTAGAAGGGTTTTATGAGGAAAAAAAGTGGCTTCACTGTGTTTGCTCAAAACCTCTAGATTGTCAGCAGCCTTTCAGTTGCTGTTTAGGAAGCTGATAGTAAATCCACAGAGCAAAATGAGAAATTATTTCATTAGTTATTAAAATACTCATTAACCACTTTCCTGTCCCTCAGTGCTCCCAGCTTATGAGGTGTGTGTGTGTGTATCTATGTCTCTATCTATCTATCTATCTATCTATCTATCTATCTATCTATCTATCTATCTATATTATAAGGACAATTTTAAAACAAAAAGGCCATAACGAATAAAACAGTTTAGGCCACCTACAAGGATGGATCCAGCTAACTTTTCTTGGATTATTTATTTATTTATTTGTTTAGAGCATTTGTATCCCGTCCTTCTCATCTCCCGAAAGGGGACTTGGGGCGGCTTTCAATTGGCAGTCATTATATGGTAACAAAGAAACAGTTAGAGCACAACAATTTACATAAACAGCAATAAAAATACATTTAAAAAGCAATAAAAGTACATTAAAAATATTGTCCCTTAAAATATTAACACAGCCAACTCTGAGTCTGCAAATCCAAATCATAGTCCAAAGTTCCAGTCCAAGGTCTCTTAATTGACAATTCACACGAGTCATTAAAGTTGTTGCTCAGCCAGCTTCCCGAATGATTGGTCCCAAAGCCAAGACTTGAGTTTCTTCCTGAAGGAGAGGAGAGAAGGTGTCGCCCTGATTTCACTGGGGAGTTCATTCTACAGACAGGGGGCCACCACCAAGAAGGCCCTGTCTCTCGTCCCCACCAGTTAAAGAGGGCATCATGTGCAGCTCCACAGAAGTAAAACAAAAGTGACTTCCACACAGCTAAATAAAATCCCACATTTTCTGCTTTAAACTGGGATATATGGAAGTGGATTCAGATAACCCAGTTCAAAGCAGATTTGAAAATCGTTGGATTTTCTGCCTTGATATTATGGGTTATATGGTTGTGTGGAGAGGCCCTGAGTCCACATTGCCATATATTTTAGTTCAAAGCAGATAATGTGGGATTTTATTCAGCTGTGTAAAAGAAGCCTAGGTTTCTTCCTGCTGTAAAAAGGGGCCTCTCCTGGGCCTAGGAGGAGCTAATACTGTAAATCATAAAAATGCTCCCTACTCTCTTCAAGGGAGATTAGAAGGAAATGTGTTTGCAATATTACAGGGTGCAGACCTCCAAGTTGCCCACCCTTGTACTACATGTTAGAATACAGAAATGACACAAACCATATTAGAAGGGTGTGGGGTTTTGTGTGAAAAGTACAGCAAGGATCTGGGAAAGGAGTGTAGAATTGCCTTTTCTCAATCTGTTCCTACAATGATTTCTCTTAATATAAATAAAGCTCAGCTCTGTATTGGGATTTGCTATGTAAGGGTGAGTGATAGATGTATGTCAAGCAGCTGTGTATGAAGAATCCCTACAGTACGGTCTCTCACAATCCTGACCAAAACAATATGGAACTGAATGAATCACATTTATTTTTGTGTAGTTTCAGAGGTTTTCCAGGTCGAATACATATCTTCCTTCTTTCAGTCCCAGGACTGTCTCAAGTGCGGTTTGTGGAGACGAGAGAGAGGGCCCTTCTCAGTGGTGCCCCCCCCCCCCCAGCTCTGGAATATCCTCCCAAAAGAGATTAAATTAGCCCCCACCCTTCAATCCTTCCGTTCCAACCTGAAAACATGGCTTTTGACCTCGAGTAGACTGAATGGGCCCATATGAAGTTGACACTTGGCACTTTGTTAATTGACGGCAGCTAGTTTATCTACTGTTGTTTTCAAAATTATATTATTTTGATTTTATGCTATATGTGTTGACAGGGGTTGTTGTTAAAATTTTATATGACTTGTTTTATACTTATGTACTATTTTTACCTGTTCTGTGTTATATATGCACCCTGGGGTGCCTTTATAAGCAGCCCCGAGTCCCTTCAGAGGAGATGGAAGCGGGATATAAATAAAGTTGTTTATTATTATTATTATTAGAGTTCTGGCGTGGGCTAGTTCATGAGGTCACGAAGAGTCGGAAGCAACTGAACAAATGAACAACAACAAATTATTATTCCTTATTCAAGTTACAAAGTTTGTTTCCCTCTCAGGTCTTACATAATTCTCTCAAAACAGGGATAGAAAATAATTTCACCAAAATTAACATTTGCCAGAAAAATACCCTTTTCATATTAATATTCACTGTGAGAAGGACTGTACCTTGCCTCATGTTTTGGATATGAACATTTACAATTTTGAGAGTTGAGATATACACTAGTACACTATAGTTAATGGGGAAAACATGATTCAAAATGAATAACAAATGTACTTATTAGGAAACACGAAGTCTTACAGCCCAATACAATAAAAGGATGGAAAGAAAATGCATGTGGGAGTTGAAAAAATATGCAATGAAATCAAACCTCAGAGAGTTTAAGAGTCCTGTTTCTGTTCCACTCCTCCTTATAGATTTTACTTTCAAGGAACAAAAATAGTACTTTTCTCAAAATGGAAAAAAACCTTACTCTATTTTGGTATATGGAATCTCTCTTAATTGTTCCTCAGATAGACCAGATGGATCCACAAGTTCTTTTCTGGAGGATTAGAGATAAAAGAGGTTACACAACCACATGCATAAAAATACTGCTGTAATATTTATTCAAATGAAGCTGCTCATCTCCGTAGAAATACTTACTGAATGTGTCTCCATAATTCTTCCTTTGCTTGCACATCTGGACTCCTCCTTTTAAAAAATGCAAACAAAAAGAGGGTATTCTTGTCGTTACAATAATCTGGGTAAACACAGTATGCTGGAAATGTGCCAACCATGAATATTGATGTATCTAGTTAACATTTCTGCAGGGGCACTGCTTCCAAATTTCATGACATGGAAATGTCATCTTGGACTAAGCAATTCTGAGCAGAATCACAATTTGCTTTCCCACAGCCTTCCAAAGCAGCACACATAAAAATTCACATAACATATCTACCTTACTCTCCTGATAAAAACATGGCAGTTCAACATTTCCCTTCCTGCCCCTGGCCACAGGAAAACTCATACTGTTGTGTGTATTTTTTTTTTTAGTTCAGGGTGGGATGGGAGGGGACTATAGGTACAAACAGAGTTCACGTTGAATCACCTAATGAAGCAAGCGACACAAACAAATGCCACATATCCTTCTCCATAATACTATGCTCAGAGAACAATTACATGACATGAAAGACACATAATTCAATTTCCCTTCATATTTTCCACCAAAGTTGTCAAGACGATAGATTTATACTGGTTTGTATTATTGTGATTTTCACCTTTCTTCCCTTCCCGCACCTCACCTCTTTCTCTTTGCTTATTTCTTTTTTCTCCTGAGTGGATTTACTGCCCTAAGGCAAAAAGCGGGTGCATTAGTTAACAGCTGAGGGAGGAGGGAGATTTAATAGTATCTTTCAGCCCTTAATGCTGAAGCGCTTTCTTCTTTCATTAAGCCCCATTCATGCAAAACAGCAGCTGTGAACTCTGCACTTTTCCTGAGGGACTGGCATCCTCTTCTCAATCTATAATAACCAAACACCGGGGGATGAAAAAGCAATCCATGCTTTTCAAGTAAGACTTGCATGAATGGCTTTGATAATGCTGATATCTCAGCTACCACAGCAAGGCCAAACCCTGAGGTGAGCACTTAGCTAGCTTTCTCAGCATATCTGTGATATTGCTAGAAATGAACAGACTCATCCTTTCTGACAAACAAAACTAAAATTCATGGTGTACAGGCCTTTTTACTGCCAGCAACTTCAGTGACAGAGACTAGATTTAAAAGGCATTCTGTTTTGGAGGTTGGACTATTTGTCTGTGTTTGTTCTTACACTTTTAGTGATCTTGCTGTATTAATGCACACTGAGCAGACTGATCATGATGACTGTTTATTTATTAATTTAGTTTATTACTATTAGTCCACTTTATCAGAATAGAACAGAATAGAATAGCTTTACTGTCATCGTGCAATTGCAGAATGAAATTAAATGCTTTCCCCAGCACACATCACAAAACAATACCCCCATCCCTCCACACCCCAACCACCACTACACAGCCCCGAATGCCACATCAATGTGTAACCATGGACTTCAACATAGCCACAGTTCTAGGATAAAAGCCATCTCTCAGTCTGTTTGCCCTTATCTTTGCCACCCTGTACCATCTGCCAGATGGCAATTTGGCAGTATTTACACCCAGCCTTTTACCCAAAGCTAAGACTCCAAGAAACTTATGCATTCATATTCCACTCTTTCTTCAAGGAGGTCAATGCAACATGCATACTTCCTATGTTATCTTCTTGACAACTCTATGTGGCTAGTCAAGCACAGAATGAGAGTAACCGATCCATGAAAACTAATGCCTCAGAATCGAGGTCTTCTTATCCAAAGCCAATAAACTTCATTAGCTTTACATAATAATGGAGCCCCTGGCGGCACAGTGGTTGAAAGCACTGAACTGCTGAACTTGCAGACTGAAAAACTGGCAGTTTGAATCCAGGGAGTGGGGTGAGCTCCCGCTTTTAGCCCCAACTTCTGCAAACCTAGCAGTTAGAAAACATGCAAATATGAGTGATCAATAGGTACCATTTTGGTGGGAAGGTAATAGCGCTCCATGCAGTCATGCCGGCCACATGGCCTTGGAGGCGTTTATGGACAACACCAGCTCTTCAGAAATGAGCACCACCCCCCAGAGTCAGACACAATTAGACTTAGTGTCAAGGGGAAATAATAATAATATTAAAAATAACCTTTACCTTTTACAATTGCATTATAAAAACCCCAATGCCAGTGTATAAAAGAGGATGTATACACACAAGGATGTGTGCTATGAGCTCCCTCCTACCTAATTTGTGGTGCCACCTTGATATGAATGAGAGGCACAAAGTGATATTTGACAGCAAGGAAAGAAACACAGCATTTAAAAACAGATTAAGGTTTTGTTCTGCAAAATATTAAATGATTGCCTGTTCTTATGTCTTGCACCAGGATGCAATCCCATCCACCCTACTGGCTTTAGAAACAGCTTTTCCAATTCCTATATTGCCACTGTTCTTCTTCATTCTGTACAGACCAGCTCAATGCACATAAGCTGACAAAGAGAGTACTGGGATACTCACAGCCCCTTGTCTAAACTTGTAACTTACAGAGCAACACAAGATTGTTTGAACAGGCGCAAAAGTAGTATCTCAGACTTAGAAAAAATATGGAGATTAAAAAACTGGGTGGCTTTGCTCTACTGCTTGGAACAGTTATCATTTTGGAGTACAGTTATGGTACTCACTCTACCAATATGGGAACTGAACTCAGAAAACACTTTTTTAGTCCTCCTTTGTTCCTTTAAGATGCAGTTATGCAAACTACAAGGTAACTGTTCCAGCTAAAGCATCCTACTAATTAGAATCATTGGCATGCCCTATAAAGCAGACCTGCACAACTTGCCAATGACAGTTCCAAGGCCTCTTATGAATCAATAAAGCTCATACTTTTGTACTTTTGATTTGGGGGGTGGGGTGGGGGGCAAAAACAGGTATCTGGAAGACCAAAATGCATTATTAGTGTCCTATATTCAACGCTGATGCTCATAAGCTGAAAATTTTAGAACAGTGGAATTTTGTTAACAACTGGATTGTGGCAGTGTTGTTTAATTTTTATCTGTTTTACTTCTCACCAATTTTTTAACCAGTCACATATGCCAATCACCTCTTTTATTAAAATTTATGCTTGCATTTGCACTCCTATAAATAATTCACATGAATTCGTGATTTGCAGCTAAACAACATTTTGAACTTTCAACTTGCTATGGAATTTTTATGGCTATTCATAATTTTGAAAAGCCCTTTGGCCACACAGATGTTTGACTCAACCTCTTAGAAATTAATCCTGCAACTTTAGGAAATACAGCTTTTATGTTCACTGTTTCCATAAGAAAGCAAACTTTTATTCTGCTTTCTTACCCAATGCAAACCCAAAATACGTCTCTCCCCACCTCCTCCATACACACATACACACTTGAGATCAGTTATCCACCTTTCATTAAAGTAACTTTTTATCAACTATTTCAAGCATGAAGACAAAATATTTTTCTGTTTTAAAAACGAATCTAAAAAATCTTTCACTATTTGAGAATGATATTAACAGCCAGGTACAAGCAACAAAGAACTCTCTGCAATGTCAGACGTAACTGCAATGACAGAACCGTTGCAGTTACGTTTTACAATGTTGTAGTTGTAGTTTTTTCTGACAATGTCATCCATCCAATAAAGCTTACTAAAGAGTTTCTCAAGCATTTCAGACTGTGATGCTAGAAAATGACATCTCCAGTCACAGGGGACACAGAAAATAGCTAGTGGGAGAAGCTCCTTCAGGTCTTTTTACAACTGCTTGATTCAACATACTCGTGACTGAGAGTACTACATATGTCATTTTCTGTCAACCGAGCCACAATACCCTGAAGACCTTCAGGTGAAACACTGCAAGGCTGAAAATGTACATTTTGAGGGTCACATTTGGTCATTAACAACCATAAATAAAGCGTCTCAGTAGTCACAAAATTGTAAGCCCAGCTTGCAGCCTCATAACTACTGAACAGGATGCCAGCCATTATGGTTATGTTAGTCACTCTACCAACACATAGTAAAGGCTTCTATATATAGATGTGATGTAGCAAACCACCCAAGCTGTTTACTGAGCAAAGCTCTCAAGAAGGATGTAAGGAAAAACTATGGTTCTACTGTTCTGACTGATTTGTTCAAATACACACCAAGTTCTCTGGATTAAGGTCAATATGTGTCTACTGCATTTTATTCCATTTTAAAGCAAAGAAAGATCAGGAAAACATCGTTTTATGACAATTAAAAGATCACAAAGCAACCATATGTACTCAAAGGTAAGCCAAGTTATTCAGCTCTTTTCTGGGCGGAAAAAGCCTCCCTCTGCTTATAATATGGTCAAGCCAGACAGCAGAGCCTGGAAACCATTGCTTGTAATATATTATTTATTTCTCTCTACTATTCCATTCCCTTATCTATGTTTTCTTTTCCAAATCCTCCCTCGGTCACTTGAGAGGGAGAGAAGCTCTTGCAAGTCAGGAATATCTCTTAATCTTATAAAAGCATTTTCCCCTGGAATATTTGTTAATTTCTCCTACAGATATATAGGCATTTGCCCCTGCAAACCTCTGCAATCCCTATGTACCTATATATTATTTGTATATATCTATATACATTAGTTTTATATATGAATTTTCCCCTCAAATGTTTGCAGGTATTTGCAAATCCTATATACATATAGATATCTAGATATTTCCATGTATCTGTATTTCTGTATATATGTATACATTATTTTATATATGAATTTTCCCATCCCACACATGTTTGCAAGTCTCTGCAAATCCTATCTAGATATAATTATCTATATATAGAGAAATATCTAGATAGATAGATAGATAGATAGATAGATAGATAGATAGATAGATGAATATAGATATATAGTGCTTACAAATATTGTAGGGGGGAAATGAACACACAAATATATATAGTCATGTCTAGATAGATATGAATATAAATATTTAAGGGCTTGCAAATATTGCAGGATTGCACTCTCTCACACACACACATATATAGAGAGATGTCTAGATAGATATAAACATAGATATATAGGGCTTACAAATATTGCAGAAGGGAAATATAGAGAAAGGATTTGCAAATGTTTCAGGGGGAAATGCATATGTGAAATTAATACATATAATTATAGATCTAATATCTAGTTCTGCATTGTTTATATAGATATTAAGGTTTGCCTATTACTATGTTGGAAGCCGGTCTGAGTCCCATGGGGAGATAGGGTGGGATGCAAATGAAATTATTATTATTATTATTATTATTATTATTATTATTATTATTTTATTGTTGATGCCATATTGTTTTGTTGACCCTACTTTTCAACTTACACAGCTAATTTACTGTTTTTTTTTAAAAAATACAGTAAATATTCAAAAACATTTAACCTACGGATACCTCAATTAATGTAATTTAATGGTATCTGTTTTTATTTTGAAATATACCAATAGCTGCTGCATTTCCCATCCTCGGCTTATTCTTGAGTCAAAATATATATAGTTTTTTCAGGTTTTTGTAGTAAAATTAGGTGCCACGGTTTATATTCGGATCGGCTTATACTTGAGTATATACGGTATGTAACTTTTGAAGCTCCCTAGATCTTCTCATCAGGGAAGATGTAACAAAAAGCAGGCTGTGATGGGGAAAGAAGGAAAATAAGGTGTGAGAAGAAGGGCAGTTTGATGGGAAAGCCAATTACCTGGCTGTTCGAAGTTAATTTACAATATTCGGATTATCCACAAGAGGGAGTCTCATTTAAAATGCACATTTATGACAGAATTAAGTGGGATTAAGCTTTTACTCTAGTTTTACTCTAAATGTATCGGAATTACCACCTTAAATTGAAGGATTTGCTTTTGATTATGTGAAACACTATAGTCCTCAAATACAAATGCATGGCATTCTCCGGCTTATTCTTTGTATTCCGAACTTCAATGGAACAAAAGCTACACATTTTCTTCATGAATATGAGCATGCACTGGCATGCTATGAATATATTTGCACGCCTATCACTTTCAACATCAAATTATAACCCTCTGACATCAGGGACTGAATTGAATGTTAATCCCAACAGGAGAAGAAGTCAACAAATGTGGTAGTCCTTTGATTTAAATAGTATAAAAATTAGCTTAAAGTTCTTGAACTATTTTTCACATTTCCCACCTGCAATTATTTCATCAACAGAAAAGGGCCAAAATTATATCAATCCATGTTTTGTTTCAATCTTGAGACTAAATTAGCAGATAGGGAATGGATAGCAATCTATTTGCGATATTGTATACAGCAAACTCCTCACTTTCACAGAGGAGCACGATCCTCCCTACTGAATATTGAAAATGACTTTAAAGAATGGTGGGAATTGGTGAATTTAGTAACTAGCATATCTGTACATGAATTTTGGGATATGCTTCTCTTCACAATGATATTCATAATTTTCAAAGATGCTTAAAACAGGAACTATAAGAACATCATTTAAACATAATTTCACATTTTATAAACATTTAGCAAAAGTAACATACGATCGAGATCTATGCTTTGAGCGTCGGTGATTGGGATCTGTCTGGCTTTTCTCCTTTTGCCGCCTCTGTACTGCTTCCCACTGAGGAGCTGAATCAACCATGTCATTTTCTTGCCGTAATCTGTGGAAATATTAACATGCTAATATTAATATCCAAGGGATCAACATTTTAATTAATCTTCACTATTTTCTGAGAAAGCACATTACATTTCACTTCTATATAACACTTATAAAGTATTATCCAGTCTTCCCACATACTCATGAAAGCTGGAAGGGAAAGTGAGAAACATTTTCAAGCATAATCCATCTGAATTTATGTGCCTACATCCCACTGATTTTAGCAGAAGACATTTAAGCAGAGATTTTTTTAAAAGCTACTTTGTATATGAGTGTGTTGAGATTATTCTGACATCTAGTCTGTTATTCATCAGCATCCACTTCTCAATCAATCAATCAAAACTTTATTTCTACCCTGCCACCATCTCCCCAATGAGGACTGGGGGCGGCTTACATGGGGCCAAGCCCGGACAACATAATATAGCAATAAAATCAATAAAGCAATAAAATCAAAGCGTATAAAACAAACAACAGCAACATTATCAAAATGACATTAAAACATAAAATACAATAAACATTCCAATAAACACAAACACAGTAGTGATGACAATGGGCAGGCCACATATTCCGGATAAAAACAGTTAACTTGTGTGAGTCTGCTGCCGAAACTTGTTTCTGTTTGCGCTGAGAGGTAATATTTCCCTCTTCTCTGCCAAGTCCTCTGCACAACCTGTTCCAGCAGACTGGGCAATGGAGCAGGTCTGAGGGCATAATGCAGGCTGAGATACAAATACAATCTGCCCCATACATTTTTAAGTCCTCTGGGGGACCTTTACAACTGTCAGCCAGAGGACCTTCTTTTCATCGTCCTAAAACTGCAGAAAGACCTACCAGAAGAGCTCCAACACTAAATGAGCTGTCAAAACTTAAAATAGAATGAAAGGCTTTATATCTTCTTACAGATCTAAGCATTCAGCTTTAAACTATACAATTTAAATTACCATGTGATTGGTAAAAATGATTTTAGTATGGTTTAACGTTATGCCTATGTTTTTAAAACATGTGTTTTTAATGGGGTTTTTTTGTTTTTATCTATGTATTTTAACTATATTGTACCCAACCTCTAACCTTGAGGAGAGTCAGGTAAGATGATGATATTATTACTGTTGTTGTTGTTGTTGTTGTTGTTGTTGTATTGTCAAAGGCTTTCACAGCCAGAATAAATGGGGTGTTGTGTGGTTAAAGGGAATAAAGGGAGATGTTGACACTATGTTCGTCTGATAGAAATAATAATAATAATAATAATAATAATAATAATAATAATAATAGGGTGTTTTGCGGTTTCTGGGTTGCATGGCCATGTTCTAACAACATTTTCTCCTGACATTTTGCCTGATTTGTGGTTGGCATCTTCAGAGATCTGAAGGTCCTCTGAAGATGCCAGCCAGAGATGCAGGTGAAACATCAGGAGAAAATGTTGCTAGAGCACAGCCATACAGCCCAGAAAACATAAAACACTCATTATTATTATTATTATTATTATTATTATTATTATTATTATTATTATTATTAATATCAGACTAACATAGTGTTAGCGCTCATGATAGCACTGTTCTCCAGCGTCTCACATTTAACAATCTAATAATTAACTCTTCTGAGAACAACATTTTGCTGCAGTGAGAGATCATCCCACATTATTAAGTCAAAATCTTAATGACATGACAGCAGAATGCACAACAGGTTAAAAAAGAGGTCAAACATATATTGCATAAACAATGTTGGGTTTAGTATGTAAATAAGGATTACCATCAGAAAAGATCTGAATCACTAGTCAATAAACCTGTAAAACTATTTTTTGGTCTAGATATGGCTTAGTGCCATGGAACACAATATAAATCCAGCAATATATTTTAAAATACAACACAACTAGTTAAAAACCAATTTTTGATATAATCATTATGGAGATATTGGTTAGCTGAGTTTGAGTTCATAATTCCTTATACTTATTTGACAGACAGTAAAGAAATGATATGCTCTTGATACCGTTTCTTAATTTATAGCTTCATAAAGGGATGGACTGGTTCATTTCTGTTATGGTGATGGCTTGAAATACCAAGCACTCTTCCCAGTAATAACAGATGAACAGAATAATTGAATTGTTAAAAGGAAATGGTAATCTAGTCCATTTTCCCACACCAATCTTCATATCCAAAGATTTGTCACAAATCACCCTACACTATACAGATCACAATGTGGAATAAGCAGAATGGTGTTTACAGAGCAAACAGAGACATTACTCAAAGAAGACATACTGAGGACTAATGTCAAAATGCTGCAAGTTCTCTAAGCAGTTTGATTTGGGGAAAATTCCTTTCTAATCCATACAAATCTGTCAGTCATGGCTTTAGTAGAATGAATTTTCTAAGCAGTATTAGGAATGTTTTCTCAGATGAATTTATCTTTCATGACTGACAGTCTTCCTAATGATTCTATCAGGTAGAAAACATTAGAAATAAAATAATAGTCGAAGACCATATTGGCCTGAATTACCTGCATATAGGTACATATGAATCCCTCAAGCTATATTCAAGCTATGCAACTTGTTATCCCTGGAAACATGTTGCAGATTTGTGTACAATAGATAATGTTTTTCAAAATAGATTTTTGTAAAATCAGTCTCATGATTTAAGCTTTCTTCCCCATTATTGTATTTATGAAATATTTGCCTTTAACGTAAGGATTCAAAATAGTGGGGTTTTAGTATTTGGTACTGTAGAATTGATGCAATTAGACATCAGTGTAACAGCCATGACTCAATGCTATGGAATTTGTAGTTTGGTGAGGCACTCACACTCTGCCTGAGAAAGCTAAAAACATTGTAAAACTACAACTGCCGTGATTCCATAGCATTGAGCTATAGCAGTTTAAGTGGTGTCAAGTTGCATTAATTCTACAGTCAGGTGCACCTTAAAGACTTTGGGAGATTGTCCAATTCTGGGCACTGCAATTGAAAGGAGATGTTGACAAGCTGGAACGTGTCCAGAGGAGGGCAACTAAAATGATCAAGAGTCTGCAGCTTAAAGAGATGGGCATGTTTAGCCTGCAGAAGAGAAGGCTGAGAAGAGACATGATGAGGGCCATGTATAAATATGTGAGTGGAAGTCAGGGGGAGCAAGCTTGTTTTCTGCTGCCCTGGAGACTAGGACGCGGAACAATGGCTTCAAATTACAGGAAAGGAGATTCCACCTGAACATTAGGAAGAACTTTCTAACGGCGAGAGCAGTTCAGCAGTGGAACTCTCTGCCCCGGAGTGTGGTGGAAGCTCCTTCTTTGGAGGCTTTTAAACAGAGGCTGGATGGCCATTTGTCGGCGGTGCTTTGAATGCGATTTTCCTGCTTCTTGGCAGGGGGTTGGACTGGATGGCCCATGAGGTCTCTTCCAACTCAATGATTCTATGATTCTATGAGACCGTGATTCCAATTCCTGCTCAGCCATGGAAACCCACCAGGTGATATTGGGCAAATCGTATTTTCAGGGTATTAGAAAAAGACAAAATGGTAACCATCTTTGCTGAATAGAGAAAGCTATGCTAATCTGAGATGAACAGCAGCAGCAGCATAAGGAAGAACATATGATTTTTGCCCTGAAATAAGCAAAAGAATAATTGAGAGAAAATCAATTTTTACACATAATATTAAAAAGACTGCTAATTATTATAATCCAAAGAGTAAGTCAAAAATAATCTATACAATCAGATTTCTGCTTAAATGCTGTATATTGCAAATTAAACTATACATTCAGTTCTCACAGAATTTGTCAGTCACCTATGTCTTTTCTTCCGATGTTCTCTGTTAGAGTTTTCTGACTCACTACCGCTGCTGGTGTTACAACGGGATCGAGATCTAAAACAAAAGAAGTCAAACAATATTGGCAAAAAATGAACATGTTTAACCAATAATGAAAACACAAAAATGACGGTAAAGTTTTAGCATATAAAAACCAATTTATCATCATTTCAGTCCCAATGCAATGAATACTGTGTTAATCTGATGCTAATATCATTTCATAGATAAGCATGCAAGTGCAACAGGATTCCATTTTCACTCCTTCTAATAGTGAACACAAAAATCCTAAGTGACCACAGCTATGAACCAATAGTGGGAACATTAAGAATCAAGCAGAAAGTATTAACATGCTTAAGAGTACACTGAGGTCTGTAGAAGAACAAAACATCTTGTGGAAAAGAAGAAAACAAAAAATAGCCCAAGATTTTCAATCAGTTGTGCTGCCACAAAATAATGAGTGTCAATTGCAGAAAATAAGAAAAACTGAGGAGAGAATGAATGACCTGCAGGCTGGCAAAAACCTTGAGCTGGAAAGTAAGGAAATAACACTGTAACACGGTCTTGCATGTATGGTATAATTAACATCAATTTTTTCACCTTCTTCTAAATGGCTGCCCAGGATCATTTTCACTTCCTCCTGAAGGATGTCTTCGTCGTGAATAAGGAAACTTTGGTGATCTGTTGCGATCACTGGGAGAATTATAAAGTCCACTAGGGTCAAAGAAAAGTAAAAGTCAACTATTGAAACATATTCCCAGTACATGTTGGAAAGGTTATAAATATTTTTTAAAAGAACGCCTATTACTTGGTTAGCAGATAAACCTACAATTCTCTATATAGGATGCCTTTTAAAAGATGGCACCATTTGGTCCACCTGAGACTGAAGATGGTATCACTTTTAGGAAGCCAATACACAAAAATCTTCAGAAAACATAGTTATAGGGTATTTAAGGATATTTCTATTGTTGTCAGCACTAGAAGAATTTACAGAGCAGAATACAAAAAACAAACAAACAAACAAAAACAAACAAAAAAACCATTATTCCCTGAACAGGAGAATACTTGAACCAATATTTTATATTTAGGCTTTCACAACATTAGCAAAACAAATCACATACATATATAGACATTTACACTTTTTTTATAATCACAGGAGATTAACAAACAAAACTTAAAACATGTATTTCAATAGTTGCTAATCATATCTACACACACACACACACATATACATACACACAAACATATGTATAAAATTAGTGATTGTTTGTTTGTTTATTTATTTATTTATTTATTTAGTTATGATATTTACTGTATTTATACCCTGCCCTTCTCACCCCAAAAGGGTGAACTGAATTCATTTTGGATTCAGGACTAACCTAGAAGTGCTGTTGGTTTGCTTTTAACTCATTCTCATATTCATGTATGCATTTGTGTGTGTGAATCAATCACAATTCAAAGGATGAGCATGGACCATTGTCTAGATTTCCAATTAACTTTTATTTTGATTGCTGTAATTCTTATACTTCATTTGTCCATGCCCTCCATGTAGTTGCTCATAGATTAAATGAAAGAAACACATTTTACCCTACGCACACACACATTCCATATTTGGAAATACAACAGACTTCAGGGAAGACACATCATGTTTCCATGTCAACACACTGATGTTTACCTCTGTGGGCAATTTTCTTCCCATGGTGCACTGGTTTTGCTTCTTTGGGTTTCTGGACTACTTTCATTTCTTGACTTTTTAAAACTAGTAAAACATGAAAAAATAAAAAGACCCCTTTAAAAAAAACTAAGTGAACATTTTCACACCCTGCTCTCTGCAAAGTCTTTCTAAGGAATTTGCTTAAGAATATGTTATTTTCATTTTCTTTGTACTGTGAAAGAAACAATCGGGCCAGACAATACACACTATTTACCCTCTTAACACATATCTTCTCCATCCTATATATATTTCGAAACACAAGTGAGCCTCCTTCTGTTGTGAGTTTAAAAATGGGGTTTCCAGATCTACACCTGACATCTCTTGGGTGAGCCGTTCAAGATAGCAAAATGAATGCTGATACAGCTGTCCATTCACATGGGTATTGTCAATATTCTTCAGAAAATCAGGAAATCTTTAATTACCCCCTACAGACCTGGTTGTAAAGATTTCTTTGCAAGGATAACAATTAGATTCCATTGCAATTGTTTCATTTATGTGCCTGTCCAAGAACTCCAACATACTTGCCTAATCCACAATCTGTTTGTTAACAGAAGCCACCTACTCTGACTCAGTGGAAAAGAGATGGTAGAACAAAAGATAAATAATACAACCCAGTTTTCAAACAGTCTTGCTTCCCCTAACCTTCCACTAACTCAACTTCTCATTACAATCAGCATTCCATCTCCACAGATTCCAACATCCATTACTTTAAAATATTTTTCAAAACATCTAAAAAAAAATCTAAAAAAAACCCAAACAAAGCACGAACTTTTGTAGATATAAGTGCACTCCTTCAGATGCAGTACAGAGTGATCATGTCACCTTATTGCTAAACTAAATTAGGCAAAAAGTCTGTGAACTCCCTTTGTACATGGATATGCATTTAACATGTAAGAAAATTATCATGTGCATGTATGTATCTATCTGCCCATGCCCAATATAGCTTTAAAATAGAGGGGGAACTAAGCCAGAATGGTGATTTGTATGTATTAGATTCCTAAACTTTTTTATCATTTGTGGCTGACAGCTTGATACACATTTCGCAGTCATAGTGCTCTGTCAGAACGGTTCTCCAAATACTAGGATTATCTGCTGGATGCTTGAGAAGGGGATAAAATGTCTCAGATTATCTGAAAAAGGATTGGGATATGAATTTCAAAGGCAGTTTAATTTCCTTTTATTTTATTACATATTGATAAGTGACTTGATATATTTGCAGCAATTAATAACCTTTGGTAATCAAGGTCAAAACGGTTTGCTGGGAGTCATCACTGAAAACAGACGTAAGCCAGCTAAAGCATTTCTAGATCTTGCTGCACAACAATTCCCATAATTCCTCACAATCTGCTAAACAGGTAAGGGCTGATAGAGAATCTTCTTTCTCTGGACAAGAAGTCCATGAATTGTTTATTTTCTGTTTAGTAATACTTGGTTTTGAACCTGACATATTTCTCAGACTGGTTACAGCTTTGCTCTCCTCTCTGTACGTCTTTATCATGTTACACAGCTCACTACTGTTCAGAATATGCCATTTCTTTCTGTGACAACTCTCCATTCTTGAGTTTAAGAACCTTATCCAGGTATCACTTGGATTTAACTTCTCCAAGGAAACACTTAATAACAATAACAATAATGTGTTGTCGAAGTTCTTTTATGGCCGGAATCACTGGGTTGCTGTGAGTTTTCCAGGCTGTATGGCCATGTTCCAGAAGCATTCTCTCCTGAGGTTTCACCCACATCTATGGCAAGCATCCTCACAGGTGTGAGGTCTGTTGGAAATTAGGCAAGTGAGGTTTATGTATCTGTGGAATGTCCAGGGTGAGAAAAAGAACTCTTGTCTGCTTGAGGCAAGTATGAGTGTTGCAATTGGCCACCTTGATTTGCATTTAATGGCCTGGTAGCTTCAAAGCCTGGTTGGTTGCTGCCTGGGGGAATCATTTGTTGGGAGGTGTTAGATGGCCCCAATTGATTCTTGTCTGGAATTTCCCTGTTTTTTGAGTGTTGCTCTTTATTTACTGTCCTGATTTTAGCGCTTTTTAAAACACTGGTAGCCAGATTTTGTTCGTTTTCATGGTTTTCTCCTTTCTGTTGAAACTGTCCACATGCTTGTGGATTGAAATGGCTTCTCTGTGTAGTCTGACATGGTAGTTGTTAAGAGTGCTCCAGCATTTCTATGTTCTCAAATAATATGCTGTGTTCAGGTTGGTTCATCAGGTGTTCTATGTTTTATGTTTTTCCATGACTGATGTTTTATAGTTTAATGGTTTTAATCTATTGTTATATGCTATTTTAGTTATCTGGTGTATTTTATATTTTTGAGGCATTGAATTTTGCCATTTACTTTGTTGTGAATCACTCTGAGTCCCTCAAGGGGTTGAGAAAAGTGGTATATAAATGAAATAAATAATCAATAAATCATTATAAGGGGGATCAGGTCTCAGCTTCAACCAACAGAAAGCACAATTTGTCTCTCACTAAATACAGCGCTTTATCTATCTACCTCACCCATGGGTTTTACAATTTTCACTTCTCGCCCTTGGTCCAGTTCACCTTCGTTTAAATTTTTGTACTGTTTTTATACTCTGTTTTATTATGTTATTGTTATTATGTTATTGTATTATTATGTTATTTTATAAGCATTTTTACATGATGTTATCGTATGTCTTGTATGTATTTTATTTTGCTAAACTGTAATTGCTTGGGCTTGGCCCCATGTTAGCTGCCCCGAGTTCCTTCAGGGAGATGGAGGCTGGATACAAATAAAGTTGTTGTTATTATTGTTATTATTGTTATTATTATTATTTCCCCCAAACGGTATGTTCTTTATTTGAGATATTAACAAGAAATTTGACAAAACATTCTAATGGTCAACTAATTTCCCTATTCATTTGCAAATGTTCCCAAAAGAGATTCTTGAGCTATTTTACTCCCCCACAAAAACATATATTCTCTCCTGCATTTCTACTTCTGATACTTCCTTCTTTCATGGTACATACGCTTGAATCTGTTTTCTTTCCATCCATTAATTTAAGAATCCCATTTAGAGGATTATTTGATAGATATACATTATAGATAATGCATGTCATCAAAGATCTGGCATGACAACACAGAAATGAGGATAAATGTTGTTCTTCAATTCTTTTTCCTTTGGGGATCACTTTTCATTATACAGATGTCCAACATACTTCTGACACTTGGATGACGGCCTTCCTGCACAAACTAATGGTTTGTGCTGGAATTAACTCCACAGATAAACATAGATTTTTCAAGCCCCGTAAGTACAATGGTCAAGATTAAATCTCTAGTTCCTTCAACCTTTAAGTATGTCAGTAATTCTAATCTTCCTTAGACCTTTTACAATTTCTTCAACCATTACCTTTTTATTGGTGAAGGAGCAATAATTTTGGTAGTTCCTCCATTTTCCCCAATATCTTTGTGTGTTATAACCTGGTTTGTACAATGGGATTCTGACAGGAAAAAAAATGTTATTTTAGTACATTTCAATCAATTTTTTTATTTTAATGCATATAAAATTTCTAGATTTTCATTTTAACCTATCTTTACTATATGAACATGGATGTGTTGCAATTTTGTTATGCAAAGATCTAAACCAGTCAAAATTCTCTAAAAATACAAAAATGTAAGCAAACCTTAATGTTTTTCCACCAGTCTCATTCAATGTGGCATAATGCTTCAATGCAAAGGAGGAATATATAATGTTCTTATGCATCATAAACTTTTTCACAAATGTTTATCAGACTTAAATGAAAGCAGAGGCAAACCCACTCTGAACAAATTTTCCCAAAACCCTGTGATAAGTTCATTTGAGGGTAATGGCTTGAAGGCTCACAAGAACAAACAATAAAAATTTTCCCAAACACATCAATAAACTACAAAAGTTTGTCTTCCATAAGGAGGAAGCGGTGTCTATAAATTAAATCTTATTTTGACTCTTCTGCAAAATAATTTATTTAACTATTTAATAAGAAGCTTAGAAAAGCCATCAACATCACAGCTGGAGGAAAGTGTCTACAGGAAAAAAAAACAACCTACTTAGAAACCTAGGCCAGGATAATGATCACTGAAGAGGGGAAAGATTTTGAAGTAGCCGTGAAAAGGCTTTGAAGATTCCATTGTAGGCACTACGCATAATAAAAATAGGTGAATAATCATGTCAATTGCTCCTTAAAGCAGCATGTGGCAATATTTTGGAGGCAGTTATTGCACCGTAGGATGCTCCTTGAAACAGTTGGTACCACAACAATATGATGAAATCTACTTCTGCATAGCTGCTTTTATAAACATACCCTTCTATGCAAAAGGAGCATCTCCTTAAAAGTCCATTGGAACCATTAAGACATGGGACTTCTTCTGCAAAATCTTTTAAAAATATGCAGGATGTATTTTCATTCACTGTACCAAATTTGGCACAAATACCTAATATGTCCAAATTTGAATACTGGTGGGGTTGGGGGGGGGGGGTTACTTTGTCATTTGGGAGTTGTAGTTGCTAGAATTTATAGTTTACCTACAATCAAAGAGCATTCTGAATTCCACTAACAATGAAATTGAACCAAACTTGGAACACAGAACTCCCACGACCAAAAGAAAATACTGGAAGAGTTTGGTGGCCATTGACCTTGAGTTCTAGAATTATAGTTCATCTACATCCAGACAGCACTGTGGACTCAAACAATGATGGATCTGGATCCAACTTGGCACAAATACTCAATATTCCTAAATGTGAATACTGGTGGAATTTGGGGGAAATAGACATTGACATTTGGGAGTTGTATTTTCTGGGATTTATAGCTTATCTACAAAGAGCCCCTTGAACCCCACTAATGATAGAATTGGGCCAAACTTCCCACACAGAACCCCCATGACCAACAGAAAATACTGGATGGATTCTGGAGGAACTGACAATGGATTGGTAAGAAAGACAAACATGAAGGATACAATAATTATTTAATACATAAATTGACATGAAGTGAACTACTTATCAGCCTCACAGGGGTTAGACATCAGTCACCCCTTCTATCAACCTCCAGAAGTACATGCCAACAGAAATGGCCTGCCGTGTCAGCACCTTGAAGGAGGTACAATAAAATCTTGTGCACAGAAAACACTCAAAACTCAAACACCCCCCTCCAATCATTCCAATAAGGACTCAGTATAGTTGTCATGAAAGGGAAAGAAAAATGGGAACACAGATAGAAATGGAATTAAGAAACTGTTGGGAATGACTGGCAACAATTTGTTACAGGTTGGAAATTCAAGGCTTACACAGACACAAAAGAACATCTAGTTTTAAATCCTTTTATTATATGCACAACATAAAAAGTAATATTAATCTCACTGAACACATAATCTATCTATACTCATAATAAAAGTGAAAATGTGTATGCATGTATGTGGCGGAGGTGTCCACTTCCACAAACACCTATAGTTCCCACTGAGTAGGAGACACCCATGTCCCTCCTTCCACTGACATCACAGGTTATAGTCAACGCCATGAACATGTAGCCCAAACCCTGCCACTGTCCTCCTCAAACACCATACTGCCCACCCCCCACCCAAGTGAAGGCTTTCATGCAGGGACAATTTCATCCTAGATGTTCTATTTTTCTCTCTCTATTGGTGTGGAATTTGCATGACCCCGCCCACTACCTCTCTCTTAACCCTTTCCTACCCTTTCCTATGGCACACAAAAACAGAGGAATTGATCAGCAACTGAACAAGAGGTTTGGGAAGAATTCACCATAATTTACAGGAGTTGTACTTGACCTACATCCAGAGAGCACTGTTAACCCAACCAACAATGGATCTGGACCAAACTTGCCATGGATGATGGGACTTGCAGTACCGTTACTGATACTGTGACCCCCACCAACAATGGACTGGGACCAAACTTGGCACAGAGAAGCCCCATGACCAACTGAACATACTGCAGGAGTCTGGGGGAATGGACCTTGATTTTGGGAGCTATTTTTCACCTACATCCAGAAAGCACTGAACCCAGCCAATGTCAGATATGGACCAAACTTTGCACACAGACCCAACATGGCCAACTGTGCATACAGGCCTGATTTGGGAGTGATTGACCTCAGATCTGGGAGTTGTAGTTCACCCTTATCCAGAAAGTCCTGTATCCAGCTGACGATGGATCTGGACCAAACTTGGCACACTGACCCAACATGGCCAACTGAGAATATTGTCAGGATTTGGGGGTGACTGTCCTGGGAATTGTAGTTCACCCTTATCCAGAGTGCACTGAACCCAGCCAACGACAGATCTGGACCAAACTTCAGTGATATTACTTAGCATCCCAAAACAAACAATGTCTTCTTCTAATAACCCAGGCACAGCCTGGGTTAGAATAAAAGTGCTGTTCTTAGTGACATTCTCAAAAGTTCTAAAAAGAAAGACTGAAAGTTGGGTGAGAACAGAGACAAGCCTAAAATGCTTTAATAACAAAGATGAATGCAAACACACACAAAATGTGGCAATGTTACCCTGACATATGAGAAAACAAGGCATCCAGAGGAAACTGCTGTCTTGCTTAAACTAGTAAGCGTAAAACAATATGTAAGGAAAGTCTTGTCTTCCTGACACAATTACCCATTATGAATTACTTGCACTTTCTGAGGAAGTGAACAATCTCTCCCTAAGTTGCTTCCAAACCTACACAGATATAATGATACTTTTGGAAGCAATAACTTCTGCTAGACATCAAAGGGAGTATAACATGGCATAAAATATTCCCAGGTCATATAACTACACAGCTCTTCTTGTTGTAATGGCATTTGATGAAGGAGGTTTTTGTGAAATCCCATAAGCAGAGCACGTCAAGAATTCCTGTCCAATTTTTCTATCCCAATATTTTTAAAATTCACTGGTGTATTCCTCTACTTTCTACATGGCTGTCCAAATAAATATGTATCGAAAATTATTAGCATTTAAATTAGACACTTAATTTTTAAAAGGAGCTTTTCAAAAGCATCCAACATCAGCTTAATTCTCACCTTATCAATTGCAAAGTAGAAGGCTTTGCTTCAGTTAACTTGGGGCTAAATGACATGTGACATTATTCAGAAGTTTAAATAAGCTGCTTTGATTTTGGAGAAAAAACAGTTACGGGCTTCAATCCAGAGAAGGCATTTACACTAGCTATTCACTGAAAAGAGCCCCCAATTTGGCCCTACTGTCTGCAAACAACCATCAGGTAGGAGGCAGTTCCAGTAATTCTATTTTCTCGAAACAAAAGCCCTGAGGTTAATGCATTAATTCAAACATATCACTAATAAGACTGCAGTTTGTCTATGGGTGTTTAAGTAGGTTACGCAAAATATAAAATAACAACATTTCATTAACCCAACATGTTTCCTAGAGAAAAAAAGATAAGAATTAGAGTGGACTTTAGAATTATTAAACTATATTTTTGGCAATTGACTCCAACAAGATGTACTTTATATCACTGTTCACTTTCAGCATAAACGGTAATGTTCAGTTTCGGCATGGCTTACCAATTGGTTGTGTTTTGGATGTTCTTTTTGGATAGGTCTTACTACGACTTCTTTCAACTGTTTGGTTAGGTCGAGGAAGCTGGATGGAAAGATCTCTGTTCAAGTGTAAAGCTGTTCTTCCACTAAAATATACAAAAAAAGATATTTAATCAGAAAAAAGACAGTAAAAATTAAAGCATGTGTACATATTTGCAAGAAGGTGAATATTTACTTGTATTTAATTTAAAGCCCACTCTATTCCAAAGTCTCATCATAAGCCAAGAAAACTACACATTTAAAAGGGGAAATGCAGATTATATTGTGACCTTCATATCTGAAAGTGATACATTTCCAGACTTTGTGTGGATATGTGAAATGGTTATAACACTAAAGCCTCGTGAATGCCACAAATATACCAGGGTCAGGCTGGAGGATCTAGAAAATACCTAGAGAGGACATACTTTGTTGGATATAGATAAACGAAACTGCAGATATCTGTCCCATGAATAGGGGGACTTTTTCCATTTCTTTTACTATCCTCTTTGTCTTGGCAAGTAAACAGAGTGGTTAGGTCAGGCATCTTCTACCCAGTCTTTTTTTCTATGCTTTGGGAAAGCCATAAATTTTTTTGCATTACCACTCCCTATAATTTTTTGGGGAGATTCTGTGAGTTGGAGGCCAATCAAGTTACTACTTCAAGGTCATTCATCTTTCTTAACAAGGCGAACAAAGTAAAGATCCTACAGAGAACACTCCATGTATGAACATAAAAGGAGCTCAATGATTTTCATGCTGTCTCCTACTATGAAGATACCAAAGATTGCAAAGAATATGCTCTATTAGTTAGGTCTGTCTATAGGATGCCAAGAATGTATATGTGTGAGATCTAACTTGAGTCTCTAATAGACTGTCTCCTGTGCTAGCAGTGCTCTGGTTCCTCAGTAAACCTGCTCTATAGATTCCCATTCTATCTCCAATAGAGTCTGCTGGCTGTTCCCTTTCCCAGTACCAAGCAGCCATACAGATTTCCTTTTGTTGCCTGCTTGATCCAACAAAAGGACAACAGTCTATTTATGTCTGCCAGAAGTCCAACCTATGTTGAAGTTTGGTTAAGACTTAGTACACACCCTTCTTACAACCACAAGCTGATAATGGCATTATCTTACGGGAGCAGACTGTCTGGAAACCAGTCTGCAGCCCCTTACTATGCTTGACCACCCAAATTGAATTGAATCCTCATCAGTCTATTCAGGTAACCCAAAACAGCCAGTCAATGAATTCAATTCCCAGTTTGAATCAATTGGGTGGCATTTTCCTGCCCTGCCAGGGCTGGATCCTCTCAGTCCTGATGGTACTGTGAGGGACGCAGAACACCACACAGAAGACGGTGCCCGTCATACTGAACTCTCGTCACACCATGCAACCATGGCCATCTAATAGGGAATGTCAAAATGAATGCCCTCAGCACTTCAATTTTTTAAACAGTAAATTATAAATTTACATTCTATTTATATTGTAATATATGTATCTATACTGTATTTTAATCCTTGTACTACATATATTAATATACACATATTGTGATGGTGTGTTAAAATGTATGTATTTTATGGTAATGTGTTTTAACTGTGCTGTGCCCCACCTTGCGCCAAGAGTAACAAATAAAAAATATTTTTGTTTTATTATTCTTGATTGCTACACCGGGATATTAGTGTACAAAAACAGTCATCAGAATTTCACATTTTAAATGCCAAGCAGTATTTTTGTAAGTTCTGTTAACACAATGCTGCAAAAACAAGAGCTATTAAATAGCTAATGTTTGGTAGGGTTGCCCATTGCCATATTTTGGTTTTGATTATGCCAAAATAATGATAAAGCATGCATCCCCTTTCTAGTGATAATTCCTAGTTGCCAAACATCTGTAGTTGAAAGGCTGAAAAACCACTCAGGTGGAATTGTCTAATAACTGAAAAGCAATTACACTGTGTGGAAAAAGAACCCTACAATTATTGAGTTGTTCATATGCCTAATCTCTGCAGAGACACAGTCTGTTTTGACAACAGAATGCCAGTTAGGAGCCAAGAAACAAAACGATGATTCCGCCCAAAGCATCTGCACATGTGTACAGCTAGTTGAGTCTGCCCTGTATATTCAGCTGAGTAAGGAAGGAGGAATACAAAATAAGTTTCATATACATTTCATATTTTATATCAGTTGGCTATCCATAAAAAAAGAACTAAACTTGCCATTTTTTAGCCTCATTAAAACTTTCTTAAGTATATTAAAATGAATTTTAAAAAAACAAGAGCAATAAGCATTTTGGCAGCTCCTACACATTATATACAGTGCCTAACAAAAACTCAACAGGTAAAAACTCATTGACTACATTTTGAATGATCTGCTCCAGAACATTAAAAAAAATTAGCTTGATACATGTTCAAATGTTCTATCTTACAGCTATTAATTTCATTTAAAGATAAACAGATGTTTTAACTATTATATCATTATATCCTACAGGCTAAATCCAATGTTAGCCCTAGCCAAAGCAAAATAAGATTACTGGAAAGCAAATGCCTCTTCCACCCTGACCCACTAGTGAGTCATGTAGGTCTGCCAATTCCCTGATGCTATTGGCCCTAGATGTAGTAGAAGACAGAAATCTGTATCTGAAATGAAAAGTTTCATGGTCATAAAAGGTAACTATTAGCAATAGAAAAACAGAGGTCTCAACTCCCAGTGATCCTGATTCAGATTGCTCTATCCCTGTTACTGTTAGTAGTAGGAAAATAACAGTATTGACTGTATCAAGATAATGGTGGTGAGGAGTAATTTCAAATGAGATCTATCAGAAACTCTGAAATTCCTGACTACTCAGCTAAAGCTTGCTCAGTTGAACTGCAGAGGAAAAAATGAATAATGCTTCTGACTCTTCAATGATCACACAGAAAACAGCTGAGGAAGATTACAAACCCACCTGCCTATGTCTTAAGGCATTCTGACAAAATAAATCAAAGCATATTGTAGTCATCATTTTTCAAAAGAATCTGCACCCACAATATGTATAAGACACACAAAGAATCAAGTGCAAGCAGTCTTTGAAAGCTGCTTATATAGATTATAGTTGCCCTAGATAAAGTAGAAGACATAGTGCTGTATCTGAAATCAAAGATTTCGTAATTATAAAAAGAAGCAAATACATGTTCAAATAAAGATCTGAAGTCATGAAAGTAAGCTTCACTCACCTGTACCGATGCTTATATCCTAGAGATCCAAGTTTGCCAAGTTTTCTTGAGAGAGAATTGGATTCATTTTCCGGTATTCTGTTTCAATTAAAAATAACATTGCCATATTGTGATGGAATGAAGAACAGAAAATAATACAGATTGGCTCTACATATTTCCTTTCAATGATAAGGAAATATTAGAGCCCTGTGAAGCTACAGGAGACACCAGCTGCAATAAGTGAACATTGTTTTTCATATCCTTTTCTAGTAAGGGGGCCAGAATCCAGAGAACCATGCTCATGTTCTATTAATCCAAACCAGCTCTTCTATTCAAGAAAACATAATCACAAGACACTCTCTGTAGATTAGGGCAAGAAGGCATACTGGTATAAATTAATACAAAGTGTGTGGCCTGAAACATTAGCTCTTTGCTTAGTCAGGGCTATTTAATGATGAGGCAGGTGGTAGCACATCATAAATATTAGCAGAGTTCAGGATCTGATAGCCTAATGGTTACACAATAAAAAAAATCCTGCACATACAGGGTGCATTTCAGCCATAGTTTAGACTTCATGTTTCCTTTTGTTGATCTGGAGGGAATAAAAGGTATCCCAATCAACATTAAAAACTTATCTAAAGTATTATCATATCTGAACATTTATGTGTGTGTGTTCAAATAATTTTTGTATGTGTTAAAAACTTGGCATTTTACTAAATTTCCTTTGACCATAAGCTGGCCACTTTGAGTGCCTCTGGTGGAGCTGTAAGAAGGTACCCCATTATGCATGTAGCAGGGCTCAGACTGTACTGTAGTAAGTGGTCTATGGTTTGCTCTTCTCCACACTCGCATTTGAGGTAGATATATGACAATGGAATGCAGATATATTACACATAATGTATTTTATGTCTGCATATATTAAAAATGAGAAGACACTCAGAAGCATTAAAAAAGTAACAAACACTACTCCAAATAACAGTAGCATTTCATGACTCTAAGAACAAAAACCATGAGACAGGGATGGGGAAATCCTATCAAGAAAGTCATTTCTGTTTCCATGAATGAATTTGGGCGTGTAGACTTTAGACAAAGTACAGGCAGTAACAAGGACTGGTGAAAAAGCTTCAGTGGAGACACCATTTCCCTATGATGACTCTTTAAGGAGTGAATTTCCCTTTCAAGTGATATATTTATTTCACTTCCTGTTATCTCATGCCTGTTGTTAACTATGAGTCATTTGTAAGTCAGATGTTTGTGACTCTGAGACTGCCTATACTGTGAATATATAATTTGGTCATTTTGGATAATCAAGTCAGTATAAATATATACAAGTGTTCAAGACAGAAAGAAACGACAAACTAAATGATGAGAATCAGTTTGAGCATATTATGTTTTGTTCAATATTAAAATGGATATAAGACTCCGGGGGAGGAAGAGAAGGGAACGAGGCCCAACCCAGCAGCGTCCATCAGGCCTGCAAGGCCCCTCCGTGCTGCTCCCTCCCTCCTGCCACTCCGGGGGAGGAAGAGAAGGGAACGAGGCCCAACCCAGCGGCGTCCATCAGGCCTGCAAGGCCCTTCCGTGCTGCTCCCTCCCTCCTGCCACTCCGGGGGAGGAAGAGAAGGGAACGAGGCCCAGCCCAGCGGCGTCCATCAGGCCTGCAAGGCCCCTCCATGCTGCTCCCTCCCTCCTTGACACCACCACAAGCGCTACCGGGGCAAGACATCGCCACTACAGCAGCCGCCGGAGCGTAAGTCGAGGCCTGCGGGTCGCCATTTGAGTGGCTCCCAACAAGACCATTGGGAAGGGCCTGGCTGCAACTGGGTGCGGCCTGTGGCAAAGACCATCAATTGCGGCCTAGTAGTTACTAGGGCTCTCTCGACTGGCCAACCCTGCCACCTGTTGGCCTCTTCCGGCAAGTGTGCTGACCAACCTGGTGAACTATCTATTTGTGCTGACCGATTTTGTGCTGCCCGACTGGGCAACGCAAGCCGTGTGTAGACCTCTATCTGTGCTGACCGATATTGTGCCGCCCGATCGTGCAACTCAAGCTGTGTGTAGACCAATTTGTGCTGACCAACTGCCGTGATGACCAACTCCGGAAAGACTTCAATATCCATGCCGAGACGGCCCTCACAGGAACAGCTCAGGACTTCATGTCTGCCATGGCAACCATGGGGCTGTCCCAACAAATATCTGGCCCCACCCACTGTGCTGGACATACATTGGACTTGGTTTTCTGCCAGGGATGGGAGCAAGGTGGCGGTGTTGAGGAGTTGACCATCTCTCCGTTGCCATGGACCGACCATTTCCTGGTCAGATTTAGGCTCACTGCGCCCCCCAACCTCTGCAAAGGTGGAGGACCCATTAAGTTGGTCCGCCCCAGGAGGCTTATGGATCCGGATGGATTCCTGACGGCTCTTGGGGATTTTCCCGCCACCTCGGTAGGTGACCCTGTCGATGCCTTGGTCGCTCTCTGGAATGGAGAGATGACCAGGGCAATTGACACGATCGCTCCGGAACGTCCCCTCTCAAGTAGCCAAGCTAAACCAGCTCCTTGGTTTACTGAGGAGTTGGCAGTGATGAAGCGAAGGAAGAGGGAACTAGAGAGCGTGTGGCGTTCGGATCCGAGCGAGTCAAATCGAACACGGTTTGTGTCCTTTTTAAGGGCATATGCCGCGGCAATAAAAGCCGCAAAGAAAACTTTCTTTGCGGCTACTATTGCGTCTGCAAGGAACCGTCCGGCGGAGGTGTTCCGGATTGTCAGAGGTCTTTTAACTCCCGCCACCTCAGGCGGGAGCCCTGACAATTCGGCCACGCGCTGTGCAGCATTTGCTCGGTTCTTTGCAGACAAAGTCGCTTTGATCCGTTCCGGTCTGGACACCATATTAAATGCAGTCTCCGAGGATGTGACACGAGCACCTGCTTGTCCTATTTTGATGGATTCGTTTCAATTGGTGAAGCCCGAGGATGTGGACAAGATACTTGGAGGAATGAGGCCTACTACGTCCATCCTAGACCCCTGCCCATCCTGGCTTCTGAAGGAGGCCAGAGGGGGATTGGCTGAGTGGGTAACGGTGGTGGTTAACGCCTCCCTTCGGGAAGGCAAGATTCCAGCGAGCTTAAAACAAGCTATCATAAAACCGCTGTTGAAAAAACCATCACTGGATCCCACTAGATTTGACAACTTTCGGCCAGTTTCCAATCTCCCCTTTTTGGGCAAAGTCATGGAAAGCGTAGTGGCCTCACAACTCCAGGTATTCTTGAGAGACACGGATTATCTGGATTCGGCACAGTCTGGTTTCAGACCGGGACATGGAACTGAGACGGTCTTGGTCGCCTTAGTGGATGATCTGCGCCGGGAGCTAGACAGGGGGAGTGTGTCCCTGTTGGTGCTCCTGGACCTCTCAGCGGCCTTCGATACCGTCGACCACGGTATCCTTCTGGGGCGTCTTGCGGAAATGGGCCTCGGGGGCACTGTTCTACAGTGGCTCCGGTCATTTCTGGAGGGTCGCACCCAGAAGGTGTTATTGGGGGACACCTGTTCAACGCCACAGCCTTTGACTTGTGGGGTTCCACAGGGCTCTATACTGTCCCCCATGCTGTTTAATATCTACATGAAGCCGCTGGGTGAGATCATCCGGAGTTTCGGGGTGCGATGTCATCTGTACGCAGATGATGTCCAACTCTGTCACTCCTTCCCACCTGCTACTAAGGAGGCTGTCGAGGTCCTGAACCGGTGCTTGGCCGCTGTGACGGTCTGGATGAGGGCAAACAAATTGAAATTGAATCCAGACAAGACAGAGGTACTCCTGGTCAGTCGCAAGGCCGAACAGGGTATAGGGTTACAGCCTGTGCTGGATGGGGTCGCACTCCCCTTGAAGGCGCAGGTTCGCAGCTTGGGTGTGCTCCTGGATTCATCGCTGAGCCTGGATCCCCAGGTTTCAGCGGTGACCAGGGGAGCATTTGCACAGCTTAGGCTCGTGCGCCAGCTGCGCCCGTACCTTGGGAAGTCTGACTTGGCCACGGTAGTACACGCTCTGGTCACATTCCGCCTTGACTACTGCAACGCTCTCTACGTGGGGCTGCCCTTGAAGACGGCCGCTCCAGCTAGTCCAGCGCGCGGCAGCCATGTTACTAACAGGAGCGGGACGAAGGGGGCATACAACGCCCTTGTTGTACCAGCTCCACTGGCTGCCGATCTGCTACCGGGCCCAATTCAAGGTGCTGGTGTTGGCCTACAAAGCCCTAAACGGTTCCGGCCCAAAATACCTGTCTGACCGCATCTCGGCCTATGAGCCCACGAGGACTTTGAGATCGTCCGGGGAGGCCCTTCTCTCGATCCCGCCTGCCTCACAGGCACGCCTGGCGGGGACTAGGGACAGGGCCTTCTCGGTGGTGGCCCCCCGGCTGTGGAACACCCTCCCTGTGGACATCAGACTGGCGCCCTCCCTTATGACATTCCGCAAGAGACTAAAGACGTGGTTGTTTGAGAAGGCGTTTGAGTAAATGCTGCAACAATTGGCAATGACGATTGGAACGGAACATGGATAACGAGATTTGGATTGTGATTCAATGATGAGACGTCGCGAATGATTTAGTGTAATTGTATTATTGATAGTGATGTTGTTTATTGTTGTTTGTGATATTGCTTATGTTGCAAATTGTACGTTTTTATATGTTGTACACCGCCGTGAGTCGCCCTAGGGCTGAGAACGGCGGTCTACAAGTGCAGTAAATAAATAAATAAATAAATAATAAATATTCTCTATATCAGGGGTTCTCAAATGATGTTCCGCAGAGCCCTTGGGGCTCCACAGGAGATAGTGAGAGGCTCACTAAAACCAAATTTGTGTTTTTCCTGTATGGCAGAAGAGGATTAGACTGGTTGGCCTCTGGGAGTTATTTATATATTTACTTACTTACTATATTTATATCCTACCTTTCTCAATCCCAAAGGGGATTCAAGGCAGCTTACAAATAGGCAACAATTTGATAGCTTAACAACAATATACATTTAAAATAAAAAAATTAATTAAATTAAAATCGAAATCGAAATACAGTGCAACATTTGGGCTGCTTTGATTGTGTTTTTCCTGAATGGCAGAAGGAGGTTAGACTGGCTGGCCCTGGGGATCTTCCACTGAAATACTGTAAAGTATGTTGGTTAAAATTGTTCTTCATTTTAAATATTGTATTGTTTATTCTTTTCTATGTATAATATAATATAATATAATATAATATAATATAATATAATATAATAACAAAACATTTATTGGGGCTCCATGAGAAACTTTTGCTTCAAAATGTGTTCCACGGCTGAAAAATTTTGAGAACAACTGCACTACATGATTTAAGTTCAGCTTCAAATTTGGTGGTGTTACAAAGACGCAAGGACATTGATTCTACATTTTGTGCCATAAGTGGATAAGAGTTCACATTCTGGAGGCAAAGGGGAAAATAGTGGGAACTCTACACTCCATTAGATAAGGGAATGAGCAATTTAAAATTGAAACCAAGATCATTACAATTTAAAATGTATTATGCAAGAAAAATCTTGAATGATTTCTGTTTTGTAAAAAACTGGGCAAATTCTGGTACTTCTAAAATTCAAGAGGAACTGGCCCATTTTCTGTATTAATCATAATTGTGGTTATAATACCGTCAAGTTACAAAACATTCTGTATGATATCCTGTATACTAAGTTAGGTTTCTGTTCATTGTAATTTATACAAACAGTAGTTTACTGCTTTCTAGATGTTTCCTTGGCAAGCACAAAACATTGGCATCCAACAGATGCCCTTCCAAATACAGAAGGCATCTTCAGCTTGAACATTAACTGTTTTATACTTTGTTTTAGATCGCTATGCATGGAATGAAATTAAATCTAAAAAATACACTTCCAGTTGAACAAACAGAACTATGACAGTCGCATGAAAATGCTCGATCAACCCATTTACAAGGGGTGAACTTTTATACATCCATCTGAGGCCAAAGAACATTTATTTTCTGCTTGCTGGGGTGTGCTGGATCCAGGCCTTTGCAAGAAAAATCAGCCAAACATGTGTATTTAATACAACCAAGGTAATAATTGAATAGATTTAAATATATTTGGTTTGTTAAGTGCTGAGATGTATCAAAATTAAATGCTGAAGTGCAACATTCTATACCACCAAGATACATTCATCTTCTTTTATCATTCCATAGTTCATAAAATATCATTTTAAGGTTGCATACCTGAAGAATGTGTGCTGTTCTACACAACATTTCCACAAATGTTTGCAGGCAGTTTTGCTGTGTGCTTCAAAAAAGAAGGAAGTTTCATTACACTGAAATAAAATAACACAAAAATAGGATTTGCATTTGATAGTATGAGCTTGTGGATGCTAATTCTTCTTTCACTTCCATTTGTGTATATCAGGAGAAATGCCACTTATAACAACTGCATTTTCCTTAAATGATTTGACATTTTAAAAGTACAGTTCATTTTAAAAGGCTTAGGAAATCAACATACACTTTTGAGCACTTATATTTTCTTGAACTAAGCTTTCCCATACTGGAAAATATGTGTTTGTACTGTGAATATTGGGTAAGATCCTACAGTGTCCAACACAGCAGAAGTGCCCACCACACATTATCCCCAGAATTCAAGGCTTTGCTGTAATAATCCTCCAAATGATTAATCTTTGGTTTGCTGAAGAATTAGTTGGGGGCAATCACAGAAATGCCTGACCATGCACCATAGCCATATGCAGCATGATAACATCTTCCATTGAGATATACCTGTCTTGGTGAATAATCCCAGTGTTCTGCATCCATTGAGAACATTAAGACATTTCTTCACTTTTTCCTATGGGACACTGTCAACCTCTTTTCTGTTCTTGATCCCTCACAAAATGGCTGTTCAGGAGGGCTAGCACAACACAATGATAAATTCTAAAGGGCCTTGGTCATTATAGCCGAATGAAAGAGAATGCTCATCAGGTTGCTGTGAGTTTTCCGAGCTGTATGGCCATGTTCCAGAAGCATTCTCTCCTGACATTTCACCCACATCTATGGCAAGCATCCTCAGAGGTTGTGAGGTCTGTTGGAAACTAGGCAAGTGGAGTTTTTTAACACTGGCAGTCAGACTGGCAGTCAGATTTTGTTCATTTTCATGGTCTCCTCCTTTCTGTTGAAATCTGTGGAATGTTCAGGGTGGAAGAAAGAACTCTTGTATGCCTGAGGCAAGTGTGAATGTCTCAACTGGCCAGTTCAATTAGCATTGAATAGTCTTGCAGTTTCAAAGCCTGGCTGCTTCTTGCCTGGGGGAATCCTTTGTTGGGAGGTGTTAACTGGTCCTGACTCCCCTCTCTTTTGAGTGTTGTTCTTTATTTACCGTCCTAATTCTAGATTTTTTAATACTGGCAGTCAGATTTTGTTCATTTTCATGGTCTCCTCCTTTCTGTTGAAATTGTCTACATGCTTGTGGATGCTTGAGGATTGCCTTCTGGCCAACTGAAACATTCACACTTGCCTCAGGCAGAGAAAAGTTCTTTCTCCCACCCTGAATATTCCACAGATATATAAACCCCACCTGCCTAGTTTCCAACAGACATCAAGAGAGAATGCTTCTGGAACACGGCCATGCAGCCCGGAAAACTCACAGCAACCCAGTGATTCCGGCCATGAAAGCCTTCAACAACAGAATGCTTATCCCTGCATAGAAAGAAAGAAAGAAAGAAAGAAAGAAAGAAAGAAAGAAAGAAAGAAAGAAAGAAAGAAAGAAAGAAAGAGGGTCAGGGAAGGAAAAGGTATATTTGTGCATGTCACTAAAAGGTTACTGGCCACTGTTTTATTCATTTGCTTTTGCTTTGTATTTTGGAAAGGCACATGCACATATGCATCAGATTTTCACAATTAAGTAATGCTTACTCTGACACTGACATCCATTTATTCATAAAGTTTATGTGAAGGAACACTCTATAACTCTTCACATAACAAAATTAAAAATACTAGTTAATTCAAAGGAAAATAGAATAATATTTACATAAGCAGAACACCTTCAAAGCTTTTATAAAGATTATTGGTTAACTGTGAGGCATGGTATGTGTTAAATAAACAATGTTGACACTGACAAATGATTGTGAAATTGTATCCATCATTTGGATGAGTTATAGATTTTTTTAAACAAACCAGAAATTAAGATGAAGGCATGCATGCCTAGGAAACATACTAGTCTTCCAATGGCAGGCCATGGTCAATTTAATTCAGTGAAAGCTTGAAAAGAATGCCTCTAAAACTAAATGAAGTTACTCATTAGCCAGAACACATTTCAACACGTCAGTGAATGAAAAAAACTGATATAATTTATGTAACACTAATTGTTTGGAAGTCTAAAGACAATGGAAAAATTCATATGGATTACGACTGGGTTGTACTCTGTTCCAAAAAGAAGAATTTAAATTAAAGGTTCACAATCTTTCTATTTTCAAGAAAGGCGCAGATAACATAAAACATACATAAAGAAATGAAGTTCCAGGAGAAAAATCTACAAATAGTGGAAAATTTGAGTTGACAAATAAGACAAGACAGTTTCTAAAAATTATAGAAAAAGGAAGGCTTTTATGTAACACAACATAAAGTATCCGGTTACTTCAATTCTCAGTCTTGGTATCTCTTTCTTGGGTATTTTTTATGGAATGAATGCTTTGTGCTTGATACTAAGGAGACAAAATGATTTTCTCTTTTTGTCCGAATACATATGACTTCTGTTTTTATAATTTTTCCCTGCTCCACTTCAACAAAGTGGCAAAATAAAAGAGGCTCCTCACAGTTTGGGGCCTTATAACTCCACTTCCAACAACAACAAAGAGTTTGTAAGAGTTATCTGACTGAACAGTTTTTTAAAAAATACAGCAAATAGGATAATTTTATGCCACACCAAAGTGTATCATATTATCTATGGAGGTAAGTAATTATTCATTGTTACTGCTGCTGCTGTCGGGTTAATTCGTTTTAACTGGTTTTAAAATTTACAATGGTTTAATTGCTTTTAAAGTTTTGTATTCTGTGTGCTGCCTTGAGTCCCAAAGGGGAGGGGGTAGAGGCAGAAAATAACAACAATAATAACAAGAATGTATTACTAGCATAAAATGCCACTTCTGTTTCTAAAATAACTACATTACAGGCAGTTCTCAAGGTACGAACATGATAGGTTTGTTAGGTTTGATCTTAAGATGAATTTGTTTGTAAGTCGGAAAAGGTACATTTTTAAGTGTAACTCCAGCCATATATAATCTTTGGCTAGAAAAGGGGTTTTGCTTTCTGTGCCAGTTCAGAAGATTCCAACTCACTTTCTATCCCTGTGATGATAGGATTTTGAAATATCTGGTTTGTTGTGTAAACAAGGATTGGTGATAAAGCTTCTTCAATGGAGACACCTTTTCCCTATGATAACACTTTCAGGAGTGAATTTCCTTTCCTAGAAGGAAATTTCTCTCACGTCCTGTTGTTTCGCCTCCGTTTGTAAGTATGAGTTGTTTGTAAGTTGGATATTTGTAGCTTGAGGACTGCCTGCTTTTTCAATCTGCGAAGGATGCAAGGATCACTTTTTTTCCTAAACAAAATATTTGAAATGTCAATTTTCCCCCAGGAAAACAACAGAGAAAAGCCCTGTGGCTTCCAAAACTTCCAGAAATGTTACATCTCTAAGGATATACATCAGTGGTTCTCAATCTGGGGTCCCCAGATGTTTTTGGCCTACAACTCTCAGAAATCCCGTTAGGATTTCTGGGAATTAAAGGCGAAAAACATCTGGGGACCCCAGGTTGAGAACCACTGATATGCATGCTTCTTTACTATCAATCCCATCCTAACAGAGATAGACACTACCTTTCATAACCACATCACAGACTTCAGGGATAGGAAAGTTTAAATTTTCCCTGTCTTGTTACCCAGATCTACAGATTCACTGGAATTAATTATGTGTCCTACGTGGCATTTGAATATATATTTTGAATATACCACTTGTCTACCTCCAACAAGGGTAAAACCCTTTCATTTGGAACAGAATTGGCAAGTTTTAACTGCAGTAAAGTCTTGTTTATCCGAACTTCACTCATCCAATATTCTATATTATCCAACGCAGTGTGCCTCCCGGCTGTTTCAATACATTGCGATGTTTTGGTGCTAAATTCATAAATACAGTAATTACTACATAACCTTGCCATGTATTGAACTGCTTTTTCTGTCGATTTGTTGTAAAACATGATGTTTTGGTGCTTAATTTGTAAAATCATAACGAAATTTGACATTTAATAGGCTTTTCCTTAATCCCTCCTTATTAACCAACGTTTTCACTTATCCAAAGTTCTGCCGGCCTGTTCGTGTTGGATAAGCGAGATTCTACTGTATACAGCATCTAGACCAGGGGTCCTCAAACTAAGGCCCGGGGGCTGGATGCGGCCCTCCAAGGTCATTTACCCGGCCCTTGCTCAAGGTCAATCTAAGTATGAAACTACTTGAAAGCATAAACAACAACAACAATCCTATCTCATCACCCACACTTCCCACTGAAATACCAATACATTTATATTTGTTAAAATTGTTCTTCACTTTAATTATTGTATTGTTTTTAAGTGTTTTTTGCACTACAAATAAGGTATGTGCAATATGCATAGGAATTCACTCTTTTTTTTTTCAAATTATAATCCGGCCCTCCAACAATTTTGGGGACTATCATCTGGCCCTCTGTTTAAAAAGTTTGAGGACCCCTGATCTAGACTTTTTTCCAAATATAGTAGCAGATATTTCTTGAGTAATTAGTAGCTTTCACCTTGTCTTTTTGTACAAAACTAGGATCTATGGCAAAGAAAAAAGAGCAAGAAGCAAGGCAGCAGTCATCTCATGGGGAAAGCACAAAATGTCAGAACCAAGCTTTAATTGTATCTGCTCATTTATGGCTGGAAAAAAGGAGGCTACATCACCAATTCTCTCCCTGCTCTTTCCTAAGTACATTTTTGTGTTTACAAACTGACAGAAGATTTGCATTATAAAATATTTAAAGCACACTTGCAAAAACAAAGCGTTAGCTCTCTGCCATACAAACTTTATTCCATTCAACAAAAGCCACTGACAGAGCACGTACAGTAAGGAGAGTATAAATTTCAAGAAGTTTCACATAATGCACCAAGAAACATGAAACTCAAGGGAACATACTCCTGCAGAACAGAGGATATCTATCAGAATATAAAATTGGAAAGACTGGTGGGGATTGGAGGAGGAAAATAAAACATAGATGATATGCCCACACTTTAATAACATTTCCCCAAGTTAATTTATAGCTTGG